ATAAAAGTGAAGACCATACAAATATGATACAAATGGGACTGTAAAACTACATCATTCATCTAACATTATGTGGGAAAGCACACAAAGGGGTGAGGCAGGAAAGAACTGCAGAATTTAATCCACTTTTTCATCATTTGAGTTGGGAAACACATGGGGTTTTGTTTTTCATAGGAAGTAAACACTTCCTTGCTAATCTAGTTGTTAATTGGAAGATACAACAACCTTATTTTCAGCATCCACTGCCATTCTTTAGCATTATTGCTTTTCTGTAATATTGAGATCTAAACTAACAGGGGTGACAGTATAAAGGATTTATAACATCTTGCTTTTCTTGTCATTTCTTAGCAAGTCAAATGCTTTCTCATTATTTAGGTGCCATTGAAATATCAAAAAAATGTGGAAGTCCATGAGAAGTTTTCTGAAAGCAGCTAATCACAAGGCATCATGGCCTTTTGGAAAGGACTAATGTCATCATTCTTTCAGCAACCTCCTGTGAAAACCACCTGTTCCCCAGAACATTTTCTGGTTATCAAAGTTACTGACTGAACAACTAAGCCATATACATTTCTAGTGAGAGGGGAAACTCTATTATCTATGGATATCAGGCACAATTTTAGGAACAATAAAAAGTTACTGATGAAAATATTTAATCAGAGGGATTTCTTAAATGAATGTAACAAAAAGCACAAAATCAGTTAATAGTTATCTGTGGGAAAGCATGGGAAACTGTCAGTTAAAACTCCATCCAGCCACTTGAAAAGGTTACTCTTCTACTCCCCAAATCCAGCATCACAGGACAGTCAGAGATGCTAAGGAAGGGTACACAATGGACAGAGATGGAAGGATAGATCTAGATTGATAAAACTGAGGCTCACAGCTAGCATTCACTTCTCCCAGTCTTTTAAAAATCAGAAAATCTTGACAGAAGCATCCTTGCAGGTGCAGAGCTCACTGGACCCACCTGAGATCGTGCTGCCATGGGGAGCCAGTGAGAGCAGTGCTGGCTGGCAGCAGGACACTTCAAAGAGTTTGAGAGGTGGGTGGCAGCTGTGAATAATCTGCTCCTAAGAGGTCTCAAAAAGAAATTGAGCCTTTAATTTCAGAGTCTGTAGCTACAGTCTAAGAAAGATTTTCAGCTAGTACTGAGCAGGACTTGTTCAGTAAACACATTTGAAGATAGTGAGTGTATGTGATGATTCCATGTTTCATAAATGCTATGAAAAGGTTAGAAATACCTTGCTGAGAATACTCTGGCCATAACTTAACATGCCCATTACATAATAAAACACCACTTCTGCCTGAAATTGGCTGTATTCAATAGACCACAACCTGTTCTCTTCAAGAAGTCACTAATGTGCAACAGCAAAGCAGAAATCTTCACAGAAATCTTCGTGTGAAAGCAAGACACAGCCACTTTGGAGTATGCTTGTGGCTCAAAAGTATCACTCAAACTAAAGTAAAGCTAAAACTAAGGTGTTTCAGTAGGCTTTTCTTTCAAGAACTGAAAGCCAAGCCCCTACCTCTACCCTGTCCCCCAGCTCCAGAACTGCAGCACAAATTACCACTGCCCAAGCCTTCCACCGAGGCCCTGCTGTCTGCCAAACTACTCAGACAGTGTTTTGGCAAAATGCTGGCTTCAATTCCTGTCCTAGCACAGCTTTCTAGACCCTCAGGGAAGGCATAATTCAAAAGAAGCACTGATTAAGCAGGCTGAACTGCTCAACACAAAGCTTCCATTCAAAAAGCCTGCTGTTTTTCACTGAGTTGCCAATAATATTTATCTCACTGTTCAGATCAGAATCCCATAATACAGCATGAATTATAGTTAAATCCTGATACACAGCAAAGAGCCCTGAGATAAACAGCACAGCAAAACAGAATTTCTTACATTAATTGCTGTTATATAGGAAAATATGAGCAAGGAAAGCAAAAAGCAGCACAAGTCTAATGCCACAGTTTACCCATACCTTTGCTTTTAGTTATTCCCAGATGGAGGGAGGGCCCCAAGATGACTGTAGAGTAAAACCCCACCTGAAACCTGGCAGCTGGTGCCAACTTTTCATGCTGCAGGTGCCTTCCTAAAGAATTCTTCCATAACATTTCATGTACACAAAGCATCAAGTTTCACTTGAGCTGACCTCCAGTAACAGGCAATTCTCCACCTTAGAAGACTTCATTTAAAAGAATGGGTCTGTTTACAGCTAATAAATGGTTTAGCAGCAGTGAGGTTACAGAACAACCACCTCTATAACCCAAGTTCCAGAAAAAAATATACAAAGTTTTTCTATGAAAATAAATTGCCAGTCAGAATGTTCTAATTGATCCAAGCAGTGCAAGTTTCCTGTCGAAAACTGTGCCAGGGAAATGTGTATGCAGTTATCACATCACAGTGCACACAGAATGTGCTGGCTTGGTGAGACACTAAATAGAAATGTAGTATGCTTGGGAGGAACTCAAAAATCTCACACAAACTGCCAAACCAACTTCACAGAACAATCCTACACCATAACTGAGAAAGGCATCAAACCTCTGAAATGAAGAATGGAATATAAAGGGTAAGTAATGGGAAAGAATCTATTCAGCTATGCTCTTCTGAGCACAAGTCACAAGAAAATGGGAGTATTGTCCCACAAGAGTTTCTATATGAAAAGTCTCATTAAATAGGTGCTGGTGTTTCATCTTCTGCAAGACTGGCTTTGGCTTGCAGCATTTGGCTTGATTTTAAATCAGTGCATGTGATTTACTATAGAAGAAACTAAGAATCCAATAATGAGATTCCAGTAAAAACAAATGAAGTATGTGAAAAAAGAAAATCTCAGCACTAATCAGTACAGCTGCAGTGCCTATAGTCGAGCTCTACTAACCCACTCACTCCCAGAGAATTGCCTCACCAAGATTCCAGTTCTTCTGTTTATACCAATTACATCACAATGTATCAAAACAGATTTTTTTTAACAACTTTTATCCCTATAACACAGTGTTTAAACAAATTCAGAAGCAGGAATTACACCGTTTCTCAGTTATGAAGTAAAACATTTTAGACCAAATAAAAGTTACTCCTTTTACTCCTTCCCATTGTCTAGAGCTTATTTCTCTCCTTCTACTAGGATACTTCCAGATCTTTTTCCATTAACCGGTTTTAAGACTTTTTTTTAGGTCATTCTAAGTTTTCTAGAGTTTCAGAGTTTTTGTTGGTCTTCCCTTTGCTAGTTTTTCCCTTAAGGGAAAAAAAAAAATCATAGTTTCACTTTAATGTCAATGTTAGTGATATGCTTAAAGAAGCCCAGCTGAATTAGATTCCCAGTTTGTCTTTACCAGGCTTAATTACTATGGCTATTTTGTTTAAGATAGTGTTATAAATGAAAGACATGTTGGAAACATACAAATATACTAAAATCCAGCAAGAATATGGTGAGGGAAAGAGTGGCAGTACCAAATGCTCGCATATTGTTTTGCAGTGTACAAAAGAATTCCAACATTATCAAAATTTAATCCCCAAATAATTTAGGCTATTAGAAATCACTGCACTAAAATGTGCTAGAAATAGTTTCTGTAACACATTCAAAATGCACATGCAATGCAATAAATTGAAGTATTATATAACAGTAAATTGCAGTGAAGCAGCTACAACAACCAATCCATCCACACAGCACAGGAAAAACAAAAACAGTAAGCCAAGCACCAATGTTTACAAAATCCTTTTTCCCAGTTATCCTATATAAACTTTTCATACACTGGGGATGTCTATAAGGAAAGAGTAAGAGAATAAATTTATTGAACTATATTTAATTTCTCACTTCCCTGTCATAAACATAAGTCAGCTGGTGAAGATATGGAGGAGAAAAATCATCTTAAGACATTCTATGCTAGACATAAAATAAAACCCTGGGAAAGCCTTGTGACCTCCACAGAAGTGGAGAAGAATACTGTTTTCTGTTCTCTGAACAACTCCTCCTTGGTTATTTGCAGTCTACAAAAACTGGAGTTTTGGTTCATGATTAGAAAAATGCTGGTAAACACATGGCTAGAAAGGATGCTTGATTACAAAATCAATCATGCTTATAGTGGTATGGCATGACTTAGTCAGATGGGTACATATATTCAGAGTTTCTTCTAAAGGAGATACAAAACACAGTAATAACAGCCCACCTTCCTATTGCTTTTATGATAATGAATTTTATGATTCAAGTCATTACTATATGATTGAATAAGAAAAGTGAACTAGATATGGTCTCATGGCTCCTTGCTATTCATTTTTTTTTTTTTTTTGTAATTAAAAAGAGCAGCCTATGCAACACATGTTGCACCATGTTGAACACCATGTTCATGCCTTTTATCATCTCTTTAGCAAACATGATAACAAACATGTTGGTGCACAACGCAGTTAAAAACCCTGCCATTCTAAAGGACTGTTTTATTCAGTATAATTTATCTTTAAATGCTAATAGGAACACAGGAAAAAGCAGAGGGGAAAAAAGTTCAACATTTAAAAATACTGATTTACTTTGTTCAGTGTTTTAAATGTTATTTGCACAGCACACTTATTATCGGGGGTATAATTGTACCTTCCAACTGCAGAACAAGTTTTGACAAGTTTGCCACAGAAGACAATGTAGGCTGATGACTTGGGACCAGAACAGGCATCTTATGGTTTCAGACATTGCTCACTGCAGTCATTTTATTTATTTTGTTAATAAATTTACCCTGGTTTGTATTTAAGTCTGACTGATTTATTTAGGAAAAGCAATTACTAAATACATACCAAAAGAGCTGTAGTTTTGTAATTTAACGCCAAAGCCTGCATTACATATACCAAGTGTTTTCCCCAACTTTACTTTTCCTCTAGAACAGGAGGATGCAGCAAGGCTGAACTCTCAATATCAGACTATTCCAGGCAGCAACAGTGTTTCAAAACTCTGAGCAGCTGGCACAGTCAGATCAAGGAAAACAATGTAATAAATCTTCTGAAAATAAACAGAAAAGAGAAAGTGTTTACATACCTATGTTTAACAGCTGTGAATGGATCTGTAGTTTTCCAAATGTGCTTCAGTGACAAGTTTCCTGACACAGGTCAGATCTCTTGAATACCATAGTCATGCAAAAAGAGCCATTTCTCATCTACAGGAAGCATCAGCAGAGAGAAATAAAACCAAAAGAGAGTAGTTCAGACTAATAGCTCCAACATTCACAGGGCATGGGAAGCTGCCAGCCCCACACAACCACCCTCCCCACCTAATTACATTCAGCTGCTTGTCATGCGGTCTTGCTGACCGATCAAGTGATCTCTTTTCCCCCCTTTAAAAGTAAGCAAACTAGCTAACTAGATCTCCCTAAACCAGGTAATACACCTCCAGCCTTTGCATTAACTACTGACCCTCCTCCTTGTCTTAGGGAGAGGAAGTTGCAATGCGTGAGCACAACTTTTTCTAAGTATATGAAAAAAATAGAATACAGCAAACACAGTAGTCTACTATATTGAAATACAGCAAGCACCAAAGTTGCCCAGACTGGTTTTATTTCCCACCTTTTCAGACAGCAGAAAAAGTTACTGATTACAAAACTGGTAAAGGCACCAGAGAGAGACCATGTGAGCAGGAGCTTTTGTAGGCATCTGTGTCCAGTCCTTTCTGCTGAACCACTTCTGATGGCAACAAGCTCCAGGAACAGATCAGAGTGAGGATGTTGCCAGAAACTTTCTGAAACACAGATGCTAAACCTACAAGTTCCTGTCCCTGCTCAGTCCTAAGAGACACATGAGGACATTTTAAACATTTAAATAACTTCAAGGAAATAAAGCTACTGATTTAACATGTAAACCAACTCTTCAATGAGGCAGTTCACAAGGGCCTGTTAACACAGGCCCCCAAGAGTCAGCATTCACAGGTCTGCCCCAGTAGCAGCACCAGAGGCACTGACTGCATGGAGGGCCCTGCCCTGGGCCCCAGGGATGAGACAGGACCTTCACAGCCCCCTGCACCCCACGAGGCCTCGTCCCCTCTCAGACACCCCAACATTACACATGTCACAGGAGAGCACTGAAAGCTGTGGACAAAGCAAGTTTTGCACTCACTGAGTAAGATTTAGCTGATGTGAGCTTTTGCAGACAAATGTCCTTGCACAATCCTTTCTTGTCTCAGTTTCTTTCCTCAGGCTGCTTCAAGAGCAGCAAAGAAAGGAAATTAAGGTGGTGTCTCAGGCTAGTCTCCAATCTTATAATTTAAAAAGTGCTGCAGACAGGCTGCTACAAATATTTAACATATGGATTCATCTACTGGTAACAAAAACACCACAAGCTTCTTAACTCTCACTTGTTTCAGTGCTCAACTATCTTGCCTCTTTTCATGTGAATCAAGGCCATTTTTATTTTCATTGCCCTGGTGAACATCTAAGTTCTGTTACACAGAGCTGGAACACTTTTTCACGCCCTGCCTTAGCATTTTTCCAGCATTAACTAAAATCCATTTCTTTCACATTTAGTTACAGGTTTTAATTTTTAAAACTCTACCCATTCTTGGCTCAATCCAATCTTCTGAAAATTTCACCAGTTTTAGAGGAATATAAAAGACCCTTTTTTGCTCCCATATGCAATTAAAAAACAGAATTGTGTTGAATTTTCAGCAACATGCAAATTTTTAATCTTTTAACTGCTTGCTTCCCTGATCAATTCCAGCACATTTGCTTAACTGTGAAGAAATATTCAGACCACAAGCACACTAGTATGTCTGGTAACTGCTCCAGAGTGCAGAAGGAGGAACAGGATAAGAAGTGTTGACAGACAAAGTAGCAATTCTTCTGCCATGTTGCAAACAGCCCTGGGAGGTGACTACACACACTATGCACAAAATGTCTGGAAGTGTCAACCTCATCTCTCTCAATGTAAATGGAGTTCAAACTCTTCCATACAGTCAGATGTTTGCCATCTTTAATAGGAAAACAATTAATAAATAATCCCCAGACTTCAGTGTTTTATTTCAGGATGAAATGAGGCTGCTCAGCTTGTCTCTCACCAACTTGGTGTGAGGAACACCAGCTAATCCTTCCTTCCTCCCTACCAGGCAAGGCTTTTATCTGAAACAGTAAGAATTAGCCAGAAAGGTACAGCTGAAATAAAGCTTTCTTTTTGAGGGTGAAGTTATGTTGATTTCAAACTGGAGAGTTATAAACTGGGAGGACATCAGTGTTTGGTTATTTATAGTCTCTGTTTTTAAACAAACATGTTTGCAGCCTCTCAGCAAATGCTGCAGAGGCAGCTGAGGCAGCCCTGCTGTGTTGGCAGGAAGCAAACACAAACCAAGCAGCAACAGCTGGAACAGGAACCACTGCAGGCAGCCCAAGGTGAGCCTTCCTCCCACTGCTACCACAGTCCTAGGGGTTCTAAGAGCTTGGACAATTTCTTAGTTTATGTAGGGGATCAAAATTACTGAATCTGTGAAATGCAGTTTTGAAGCTCCAGCTCTACAAAGGAATACCCATCTGCTCAGTTATTCAATATTCCAAATGTTTTTACAAGTTTCATGAACAAGATGATCTGAATACATGGAATTTATGGTTTATTTGGAAAACTTTTCTATGATTTACAGGCCTAGGAATTTAGAAGAAAATCTGAGGAGTTAAACACAGTGAACAGTGTGGAGCATTCTTCAATACAAGCATCTGAATATTTGTCTTCACACACTCCACACCTTTGAGATAAGGTGCAGGTGTCAAATTGTCCTGTAGCAGATGTTTCTTCTGTAAGAAAAATGCTGGATTTTTACCTGCCTGCAGAAATAAAGACATCTGCCCCTGGAGAGAGGAATAGGAGAAGAATTGGTTCTAGCAACAGCCCATTTCAGCTAGTGCTACAGAACACATTTCCAAAGCCAAGAGCTGTGCCTAACATCAGTGCATCTGCCCCTGCTCTGCAGTAACATGCCAGTACTTCAGGACAGAACTAAAAGGACCTGAAAGGAGGAGATAAATTCCATATAAAGGATTTTTTTCTCTATCTTCAGCCTGAAGAGCTACAAATCTCATTTTAGATCAATGATCTTTATCTTCTTTAAAGGGTTGATGACTAAGTGAACTTTTTTAATTAAAAAACATAGTATCTTTACAGGAAGCTGCTGTACCCATTTAAAGGAACATGTGCACTACACCTACCTAAGAAAGGATTTTCAATGTTTTACAATCTTATATGAATACAGCTTTGAAAGTTGCTGTCATATTTCTATCCACACTTCAGCTTAATTGATATGTGTTTATTTTTGGCAGTACCTGATTCAACATGCTATTTGAAAGCCAGTCTCAGCAGAGCTGGGTTTTCTTTCCAGCAGAAGAAGACCCTGTTCACATCTTTTCTCAATCTACTTAATAGGGCAAGTGGTTCATCATTCTCCTTGCAAGCTGTCAACAGTGCCTTTTGCACTTTAACTCTGCTCTCAGGAGGAAAAATGGAAAGGTTAATTATGTGAACTATGTGACAGACAGAGAAGTCTGCTGCTTCTGAGCTACAGCAAAGTATTGCTTCTGCAGTGTATTGTTTGATCTTCCATGCAATAAAGCACATGAAACCAAATTAAACACCTGTGATGCCTATTTTTTTTCTATCATTTCTTAAAGCATGAACACCATTAACATGAGAGCTCCTTACTATTCCCACTTACTGAGCGACTCCCCAGTTTAACTAACCTGACTGGTTGATCTGCCTTCCTTCAGGGTGTGCAGGAGGAATGGGTGGGCTTGGAAAGGTGGTGATTCTGCAGTACATTACCAAAGTAGGTCTTTCAGTTCCATTGGCCCCATTCCACTCCCTGTGTGACTCCCAATTACTAAAAACGTTACTGCTCCCATTCTTCATGCTCCCACAGGATGCTAGGCTGAAGAAAAATTCCCTGAGGCTCAATACACCACACTTCAGATTATGAATGCAGTAACAACTTCTTGGAACAAAGCTCCAAATTTGCAATGCAAAAAACAAAGCTGAAATGAGGACATGCCTCTTAGCCTGGTTTCCTAAGGAAACAAAGCTCATTAGAGAGGGGCAGAGACATTGAATTTCTATGATTTTTACCGTTCCCCCCAGTATTTGAATTTGCTGATCAGCCTGAGCACTCCTTTACAGAGGAGATCTGAACTTCCTGAACACTTTGTGAAAAAATGGCAAAAAAATGGCAGACTGGATAAAGAGGAGAGTGGGACGTGTGCCTCCCCTGAAAGCTGGCAGTTAAGAGTTTCCAGTTCTGCAAGGGAAACCCACCAGCTGCCCAGGTTGTACCTGCTGCAGCACATACTGTGACAGTCATTCAATTTTACATTTACTTTCAAGCTGGATTTAAAATACACTATCTATTTTAAAAGCAAATTAAATTTAAGTGCATCTATTATTAAAAAGTGAATGGAATAAAACCAGTGGAGTTTCACCATATCAGCTGTTCAGATGTGGGGGAGGAGTTGTCTTCTGTTTCAAAACCTACTAAAAAGCATGATTCCACTTTTGCAGCATGCTCTTTTCACAGGCCTTCCAAAGCCTGCTCTGCAGCTCCTCCTGACACACAGCAGGATCTCAAGCCCTGTGGACTATAATCAAACTGACAATTCTAGAAAACTATCAGATAAAGATTTATATTCACCTCTTCCATTTCACAGATACTGAACATTTTAAAAGCTACTACTTTAAGAGCTCCAACTTGAGCCTATATTTATCCAATCTAAAATTATGAAAATTTTGCTACAAAATTCAGAAGAAATACAATCAAATCAGGCAGTACTATCTTCAAACTTGATTAACACCCTCTCTGTTCAGAGATGTCTATCCTGACACCATTCCAAGCAAAAATATGGAAAAATTAGGTATTAGTCAGACAGTTCATGCCCTGACAGAAAAGACTTGTCAAGCTGAATCAGTGTTAGAGGAGAAAGTCAGTGGAGCATGTGCAGTTACGTGCACAGGATCTGAAAGTGCTGCATGAGAAAAATCTGTTGGAAATCGATAATACCAGCAGGGCTAGAACTACCCTGATACCTGCATTTTGGGTCACATTCAGTCACACCTAAAGTTTGGTTTAGAACAAAACAAGTGGGGGTGGGGGAGGAGGAATTATGATTAGAATTTGCAATTGAAAAAAAATAAAAACCAAGCCACCATAAAAAGACCCCAATTATCCATTTTTTTGCTATAATCTGCATTCTGAATGTTATCTAGGTTTCCAAGCAGGTGTGGAAAGCACCAGCCACTGGCAAGAACTGTAGCAGCAAATCATCTCATGCAAACCTTGCATAAAACCATTTCACAGCACAAGCAGTCCCACAACTGTGAGCCTTGAGTGATACCCTGAAATTCTCAAAATGCACCACACTCCATGACAGTCACACAATTATCAGCAGAGACCTCCAGGAGTAAGGTAATTTCCCTCAGTAACTACCAATATAAAATACTATACTAGCAAGACTGGTGGAGACACAGGAGAAAAACAGAAGACTTGCATTTTTATTCAAAAAAGTGAATGAAGTTTTCTTTCCCCCCCCCCCACTATACATGCTTTATTAGTCCTTATCACCACTAGCAGCCTTCAGTCTAGTTCAAATATTCCCTTTCCCCAAAGATGTTACTGGAATGAATTGTTTTCTTCCTTTCAGCTCATAGAGCAGCCATTTTCCTTACAGTCTTTGAGTGATAAGGGAACCAAATAAAATATCCCACAGTTATGAAAATAATGAGCCAGGCCTTAAGAGTGAGACTGGGCTGACTCTGGACAACAGCACTTCTCCAGAGAACCTTCATCACCTTCTAATAACATAAACCTTATAAAAGTACTATAAAAATTGTTTTCAATTTTGCTTTACATTCTGCTGTTTCTAACTCAAACCTTGAAGGGGTTTACATACCTGAAAGCCTATCCTTTCCAGCTAAATAAACAGCTCTAATAAAAGGCATTGCTTCTACCCATGGAGCTCTCCTTACTTGAAAGTATCACTGAAGAGTCAGTTTTTATCTACTTTGCTATTTATTCCTTTGTCCTGTTATCACATTCTAAACCAATAGCAGTACACAGCTGCAAAACTGCAGTCACAAACTCCAAAATTAATTTGGACTCAGCTACTTGATTTGTGTAGCAGTGTTATTAAGCCTATCCAGTGTTGCATTTGCACATAAAATATTTCAGCAAGGTGTACTCCTTACAGTCCTTTCATTCACATATCACATTTACACAAAGAATTACTGCAGAAGTGTACAGTTATTTTCAAAATACTTTTTGCAAGTGCCCACAGATTGGACTTTTAATTTAAAAATACTGATTATCTATTAACCAACTTTTTTTGTCTGTTGCAAATGACAGATTTCTAGGAAAGTTGTATTCCTGCTAAATTTGTATCGTCACTGCTGCTTCCTGCCCCTTTGGTACCTTACTTCCTTCACATTGTCTTCCAGAAGTGCCTTTTTCTGACTCACTTGATTCTTACACATTTCTCATCAGTAAAAGTATCAGACATATAGAGAAAGAAAACAGCCATGGGAAATAGGAAAATATCACTGCACTGGTTTACACTTTGATGTTATCCTCAGAACCATAGAAGCAAGGACATTTGCCTGGGTTTTTTTTCCTCCTGTAGTCTAAAATACTGAAAAACTTGTTAGGTCAGCTCCAGAGTGCTGAAATGTGCCAGTATGTGAAAATAATTCCACTACCCAGGATATGCAAAACTGTCACACACCCCCAAAAGCATCCTTTGAAGCCACACCAACACCACAGGAATAAAGTATGCTGGCAATGTGTCATATTTTAATCTACATGCCATAAGGCATATTAGATTGGAAAATAAATCACAGGCACTGAGACTACTTATTACTCTAAATCAAAAGTAAATTCTGCTGTTCTTTGTATGATAATACAACAATGTAAGGGTGTTCCAGAAAAGAAAGTCAGGGCTAGGACTTATTCACAAAGCTCCACTGGAGATAAAAGGATCATTAAATCATTAAGTGATCTCAGCTGATTTAACATGGTTCAAGTTAGGCCTGCCTCCTGACAGGGATGCAGTTCTGACTAAGAAGAGGAAAAAAAGAAATTAGGAAAAGCCCCATAACCAGATGCTATATCCAGAGAAAGACTGATTGGGAATATATTTGTATAAATAGAAAAAAAGAAGTGTTTCTGCTAAAAAAGCCACCTTTTAGGTTAGAATTTATTGAACCATACTGTACTTAAACAACTTTTTCAGGCATGTTCAAAGCCAGTGCTGTAAACTCAAAGATTTTATCTGCAGCACTGAGTGATATCTACAAGACAACGGGAGCAAAAGAAAGTTCCAGAGCACTGTGTATGCCCAGCCCAGGAAAAGTTCACCTATAAGTATCTAAGTAACCCTCTGCAGGACCAACCACATGTGCAGAGTACAGTAATACAGCTTTAATACAGACAGGAATATTTGATTATTAATTATTTATAAATGTGAATTAATTATTTGCTGAGACATCAACAGGGAGAAGGAGTTCTCATTATTTATATTCCACCTCTAGTGCAAATTTTGCCTGTTTCTTCAGATTAAATTAAATTCTAACCATCTCTGTTGACTGTGACAGACTGATCTTAATAAAGGTGTTGATCTGCAAATCCAGGGTTACGCTGGAAAGTGACAGACCTATCACTGGCCATTTACTAGCACGGCAGATACCTGGCAGGAGCAGCACAACCAAGAATTCAGAGGCACACAGGGGTTACTGCACATAATAGTTGTTTCTGTAAATGTCAAACCCTACTTAAGAATTCTTTTATCTCACCTTATCTTCTCTTTAAAAGAAAAGGAAATGTGTAATCAAGTGATAAAATAATGTGTTCCCATGTTTAACGATAGTGATAAAACAAACGTACAGTCTGGTTTTAGACATCTGGTTGCTCATAAGAAATTTTGTTAAATGTGAAAATAAACCAGTGTAAGTTGTAGCACACCCTCTTTCCCAAACTCCTTTGTGCAAGAGATTAAGTAGATGTAAAATCAGAACCCTGAACGAGAAACACAGGAACATGCTGTTCTTTTTTCCATTCTTTTTAATCATGCTTTTGAGACACTTATTTAGCATTACAAATACCATTCCTACATTTACCTATCAACATTTGAAATGCATATTGCAGTATATGCTTTTCCCTGGCTGGAAAATACTTGGAACACTCGCAAAATTAGTAAAAGTCTGTGACAAGAAAGAAGGGCTGAGAGAAGATGTCTATGTCAGATTAAGTTTCCAAGAAAGGGCAGAATAGATTTCGTAGAGTTTCAAAGAAAAACCTGTAAGTGCAGCAACACATCACCTTGCAGAACTAACTCCAAACATGTGTGTGCTATCCTGATGAAAACCTCCTAAGCACCATCTATGAGGGAAGCATTAGGAGAATCATACAGTCAGAAAGCTCAAAATATTCCCGATACACGTCTAAGACATAAAAATTGAGTGGTTTCAACAGTTCTAAGCATGTCCCTTATACTTTCCTAGCACCATCAAAAATACCACTTATATATTAACATACTCCAGTTACTTACAGAGTTAGGAAAATCAATAGGTGTTTCTAATGGACTTAGTATTCTTTAGATCCAAGATCATCAAAGTGTAAGTTCAGCCCAAGCATTACAAATCAGGTGAAGGGCCTTCCCTCAGACAAACATGCAACGTTCAGAAAGGAGCAACAGGTCTGTTGATAGTCACATACAAGATTTGAGTCCTGGCTAGGCAGATGTAACATTATTATAGTTCTTTCATAACGGCTGACCATTTTAAAAACCTTTTAAAAATGTAAAGCAGGCATGCAATCCCTTCTCCTCGGCAGAAGAAGCGCGGGTCCGAGGCGGTGGGAGCCCGCAGCCGCAGCAGCAGCAGCGCGGGAAGGCCCGAGCGGGGCTGTTGCCGGCGCTCCGCAGCCGCCGTGAGGGGAAGCACCTGAGGGGCGGCTCAAAGGCCGAGCTGCGGGCGTCTCACACCGATCTCCCGAGCGAGACCCCTTTGTCAACGCCCGGCTCGCTGCTCCGGAGCCGCGGGGCGCCGGCACCCTGAGTTCCCCGCCCGAAACACCGTCCCGGGGCTCTGACCAAGCCCTCTGCCAGCCCAGCCACCTGTGCTCACTGCCCTGCTCGCCTCCCTGCCAGCCTACCTGCTCGCCTCCCGGCCGCCGGAGCTCCCGCAGCCGCGTCACGCCGCACCTGCCTTTTTTATTTTTTTTTTGGGGGCTCCGACCGTGTCTTTTCCGTCAAGGCAACATCACTTCCCGTACAGCCCGAGGTGGGGGCGGGCCGGGCGGCACCGCCCCGGCTTGTCCCGGCCCCGCCGCGGCCACCTGGGCGGGCTGAGCGCGGCCCGAGGGCAGCACCGCGCGGCGCTCCGCGGCATCGGCCGGGCTGGCGCTTCAGCCCTTCCCTCCTCACCTCTCCGAACGATCCGCGCCGTTTAGTAAGAATTCGTGAGAGGCAAAACAGGCTTTGCAGCGAAAATCCGCGGTGCCTGGTTAATGCACAGCACTGTGGGTTTAATGAGCTCTTCCTGCCGCCTGCTGGCTGCCTGCCTATCCCCGCAAGGGAAGCGTGCTCCGCACTCTCAGCAGCTTCCCAGTAAACGCTTTAAATCCAGCAGCCTCAAGAATTCAGCAAGCAGAGTCTTAAGCTCAGTTGCATCAATAACCCTTTCCACCTGCATCAGTTCAGACATCCTCTTTCTTGAGGCCCTCTTTTCAAATTCAACTGCCATCTTTATGGACAATTCCAGTCATTATATTTACAAAGGAAGTGCCTTCTAGACCTGACCTACACCTTTTCAAAATAACCTTTAAAATATTTAGTGGTACTGTAAAGGAAGCTGCTGGTGTCACTGCAGTAATGCAGAAATTAGTGGTAATTAGTAGCATTTCTTCATAGAATCAGGAAATGGTTTGGGTGGGAAGGGGCCTTAAAGACCATGTAGTTCCAACCCCCTGCCATGGCCAGGGACACCTTCCACTAGACCAGGCTGCTCAAAGCCCTGTCCAGCCTGGCCTTGGAGACTTCCAGGGATGGGGCAGCCACAGCTTCTCTGGGCAACCTCTCACTGTAAAAAAATTCTTCCCAATATCTAATCTAATCTAATCCTGCCCTCTTTCAGTTTAAAGCCACTGCCCATGTAATGTCATGTCCAAACTGCATTTACCGCGCTCAGCTGCACCTCCCAGTCCACCTTCTACTGCTATCCTCCCATCTCAGCTTCTATACCTCTGCCTCCAGATACAACATTGTTCCTAGCTTAAAATATAAAGACACACAGATAACTGGTTTCTTCCCCCATTCCGTCCAAACAAGATTCTGTGTTAAAACTAAAACCTGTCTTAAATTTGTCCCAAGATCTCCTGGGTTTGGTTTCTTTTTAGATGTATCGTGACATATCTACTGATTTAGTTTCCTCAAGTCTCAGATTCTGTACTGTCAGACTAATCCACACCTACTCCAAGAGCCATGCTTCCTTCCTGAGCTACACACTGAGGCTCTTCTCAAGGACAACCCATTTTCCAGGCAGATGTATGTATTCAGTATCTACTGTAGCCTCACTCTGTCAGGAATGAAATCTGTGTATAAGCACATGTGGTACGTGTGTTTATGTACATATGGCCAGGTCTGATTATAAACTAACGATACTGAAGTTGGGTGCAGTTCCCTTCTCAGCCATTTGCACAACTGCCTTCCCAACTGAGCTGCCGTATGAAGAACTGACATCATGAGAAACAGAGACAAATGGTATTTATCACTTGGAGGATCAAATCAGAGGCAATCCAACAAAACCCATGAAGCGTAACTACACAGCAGCAGCTTTCTTTTTCGATTTTCCTGATGTTAATTAAATTCAGAGGTGAAACAGCCCTTCAGACAGTCAGAATATCATCCATGATTCAACATTCACGTCCCGAAGCCTGGTTCCAAACACGCAGCTGCAGCAGGCGGGCGGCTCCAGCGCGGGGCCGGGCTGGGTGGGACGGCCCCGGCAGGTGACGGTGGCGCCGGCTCCGAGCGGCTCCATTGCCCCGACGGTCGGGGCGTGCGAGGGCCGGCTGCGAGGCGGTGCCCGGGAACGGCGCCGCACGCCGCCCTCAGGGCCTCTTCTCGGGCGCGGCGTCCGGCGGCGGCGCGGCGGGGCCGTGAGGGGCGGCGGGCGGCTGGAAGAGCGGCCCGTAGATGTAGAGCCCGCTGGCCACGCCGAGCGCCACGGCCACGGCCACGTGCTGCAGCGGCAGCCGGCCCCGCATGCCGGCAGGCGGCGCTGCCACGCTCACGGACACGCGTGGGGCGGGCGCGCACTGCGGCGCGGCCCCGGCTCGGCTTCGGCCCGCGGCCCCGGCGCCCTCACCTGAACGCGGGACGCGGCACAGCCCCGGCTTCCCCTGGCTGCAGGCACCGGACGGAAGTACCGGCGCTGTCCCGCCTCCCGCGGCCGCGCATGCCCCGGCGGCGGAGGCGGCCGGGGAGCTGCGGGCGCGGATGCCGGAGGCGGTGCGGCTCCGCAAGCGGCGGTCGGTGCTGTACAGCTCGGCCGGCGGGGCCGCCGCGCAGCGAGGCGCCGGTAAGCGGGGCCGGGCCGGGCCGGGAAGGGTAGGGCGGGAAGGGTAGGGCGGGAAGGGGGCGGTCCCCGAGGGGCCCGTGATGGACCAGCCTCGCCCCCGCAGGTGCAGCCGCGCCCGCGTCGCTGCTGGCGCTCGCCCTGGCGCTGCGGACGCTCAATTGCTTCCTCGTCCAGACCAGCTTCGTGCCGGACGAGTACTGGCAGTCGCTGGAGGTGGCTCATCGCATGGTCTTCAAATATCCTTCGCCTGCCGCGGCCCCCGCGCCCTCTCCTCGCTCCCCACCCCGCGGTGCCGTGGGCGGGGTGCTCGGGGACGGCTCTGCCCGCTCGGACACGGCTTTCCCCGGCAGTAAGGAGTTGGCTTGGCAGCAACAAACACCCTCTGCTCTGGCCCAAGGGGACAGAAGGTCTCCACCCGGATGGCTCGGGTGAAACTCTTCCTTGCAGTTGGTCATGGTCTGTCCTTAATATTTATAATTATGGTTACCTGACTTGGGAATGGACAAGTAGCTTAAGGGGCTACTCGTACCCACTGATCTTTGCAAGCATGTACAAAGCATTACAGCTGCTGGCTAAGGATAATGTCCAGCTGCTGGTGAGTATAATAAAAAATGTGCATCTGCTACTAAAATTCAATTCTAAAACATTGTATTTAAACACAGTGGTTTTTTTATCATTGTCCAAATAAAATGCAAAGCCTTGAGTCTGGCAATTAGAGATGTGTGAGCACAGACACCCCACTGACTTCTCACGGGGGCAGAACTCATTCATAGATCTCCAGTCACAACAGTGACGCCTGTAAGTGCAGAGGATTATTCTTGGTCTCCATCAATCTCTTGAATTTTCATACTGATTGTGTTTGCCACTACATCATAATTGCATGGTAGTTCAGTTTTCCAAAGTGTTTAGCAATGTATATTTGCACTCCACCCACAAGAACTAACAACAGCCCCTTTTGATTTCTATCTGAGATGTAAAGCAGATAATTTTACTTTCCATCTCTGAACACTTTCAATGAAGTTCAGACATTCTCTGTTTTGGCAGAAATACTATCCTTACCCAAGGCCCTTACTACTTCATTTTTTAAATCATAAGTTATAGAGAATATTCACCAATTCACTATTTTCATACTTGAACAGTCATTCACTAATTCAGTCCTCTCTTAAAATTTGGAATTTACCTTGTTTTGTTGCAAGTACAGTTTTCTCTCTGCTTACACAGATCTGGGTCCCTAGGCTTGCACAGGCAGTGCTGGCTGCTTTTGCTGATGTGAAGCTTTACTCATTAGTGCAACACCTTGAAAATTCAGAAACAGCAAAGTTCGTGGTGAGTCACAGCCTTTAAAAATTATGCATGTTAATAAACACTGGTTTTGCATTGTAAATAAGAGCAAAATTATTTGTCACACCTTGAAGAATTACCACCTTCATTTAGGGGAACTTCTTTTAATGTGTTCATAATTATTTTCAGTTCTTCTGCCAACTCTGTTCCTGGTTTACATGGTATTCCTGTACCAGAACTCTAACAAACACCATGGAGACTATTCTTAGCATTTTTGCTCTTTCCTACTATCCAATAAAAGGCTCCAAGATGGGGAACAGGTGAGAAACTTTCTCCTAACAGTACTGATAATTTTTTGTTTGGGATGACAACATCTAAGGCAACCAAAGCCCCCTCATTCATGCAGTATGTCTCATGGAAGTAGTACTCTAGTATTTCTTCTAAATATTTTTTAAGATTATGTTATAGCTGGTATGTAAAATTAGCTATTCCCCTCTTTCCTTTTGCAAAGTGATTTTAAACTTTAAAACACTGGAATATATAGTAACTTGGGAAAAGATAACAAAAGCTTTTGGGGGTGAGATGCAGGTGAATTTGTGGTCACAATTTTCTTTACCACTTGCTATTTTAAAGTCGGTACCTCTACTTAGTAACTCCATTGTTACAAAACAATTCTGGAGTTGCAGCTTTCTAAGCAAGAGATAGTATCTGTACTCAGAGAGTTGAAGTTACCTGCAGTATGAAAAACTTGGTCAGAGACATGAGAGTTGTTGAAATGTCACTGACTGCAAAATAATTGACCAGACCTTTTGATAAGCTGTTGGGTTTTTTATATTTCTTCTTTTTAGCTGTAAGTATTTAGCTTTGGTTGCACTTGCAATTGTTATTCGTCCCACTGCTGTTATCCTGTGGATTCCTTTGGTCTTCAGCCATTTTTTGCAAGAACAGAGAAAAACAGATCTTATCCTATACAACTGCATTCCAGTTGGGTAAGTTCTTTCTCAATTTAAACGGTGCATAGCTACATCTTAAGATTGGTTTTGCCACTGCAAAGGCAGATAAGCCAAAAAACCTGATATCATGTAAATATAAAAGAGAACAAATAGAGTCCTTTTGCAAAAGTTTAAGGATGGGGCATATTTCCTTTAAACTGTTGTATATGCTGCAGAAAAGCACCAGGCAAGATTTCATGATGGTGAGACATGAGCAGCATTCCAGCTTAATTTGTGATTGTGCCAAGGATACCAGGTGATGTCAAGTGGCCACTGTAAAATGGCCATGAGTATGGATAATCTCAAACATACTAGGAACCAGAGTTTTGACAGCTGGAGAAGATACAAAAGCAATTCAGGCAATATCAGTGCAACAAACTTTCCATTTTTGCAGATTGGTCACAGTAGGAACCTCTTTAATAATTGACCGTGTGTTTTTTGGTGAGGTAAGCTGTTTTAAACTTGACTTATAAGAAGAAGGTTGGGGTTTAGTATTTTAGCATTGATGGATATTTCAGATTTCTCTGGCTTCTCTTGCTTCTGTGACAGTGTCTGGCCTATGATCTCTAAATATATCCTAAGCCACAAACCCTTGAACACTGATTTCTCAGGTACTTCAAATGATACTATGTAAAATCAGTATGCTCAGTCCTCAATAGTTATCAACAAACTACAAACTTACACACTTCCGTGATAATTGCTAAATATAAGAAGTCCGTGCTGAGTCTTAGTTACAAAAAAAAAAAAAAAAAAAACAAAAAAAAAACCTGAAATAGGAGTTAAAATGTAATATATAGAGCATGATTGTGTAATTCAATGTAGCTGTTGGGTTTGACTTTGGATTTCTGTTTAACCCCCTCTGTCTCCCAGTGGGTACTGGTTCAGCTGAACTTCTTGAAATTCAACGTGCTGCAGAATTTGGGAACATTTTATGGCTCTCACCCTTGGCACTGGTACTTCACTCAGGGACTCCCAGTTGTCTTGGGTCCCCATCTGCCATTCTTTATTCACGGCTGTGCACTGGCACCAAGGAGGTTCCATGTCCTTCTGCTGGCAGTGATCTGGACAGTGCTGGTGTACAGGTAATCTCTCTTGGGTGGAACTGCTGCCTCTCACTGGTTGTGTTCTTTGCAAAGCTCCTGTCCTCTCCAGAACAAAGCAGTGTAGTATTCGGGTTAAGGGATAGAAAACTTGAAACTGTTCAAAACTCCAAGAAATGCAATCAGTTATAAAGCTGGTTCTAGAATTTTGTGTAAAAACTACTTCTTGTGTTGCCACCAACATTAATCTTTAAAATTGATTACACCTTTAAAGAATGAAATAATTCATAATGAAATTAAATTTTAAACATCCCAAATCCAACAATCACCCAGCAGGTGTTTAGACAAAAATAGAACTAGTTAGAAAACTGAGTACACTAGATGCCTGTTAATGAAAACATCATTTCATTTGGTTCTTTAATACATCTCCAGTAAGATGAGAGATTCTTAGACTTCTAAAATGTACTCCATTCACAAGTTTATATACAGCTCTTAGCTATCATAAGGCTGTATTCCTCACTGTAAGCTCAGAAGTATAAGAAAAGGTAAGATTCTTCTAAAGCATCAGAATTAACTGTAGATTAAACAAGAGAGACACTTTCAGACAAGAAAAAAATACAACAAGTAAATAAATACTAAGCAATAAATACTATCATAGTAATAGACTACAGCAAAACAGTACCAAGACCAGAAATGCAATTTCTTTCCAACTCAAAACTGGAAATAGCTCTTGGCTTTAGGACTTTTTTTACCTCCTTTAGTTTTTTAAGAACCCCTTTGAGTCCCAAGACATGAGTATTACAGTAATCCCCAAAAAAGCCCAAAAAGTTAGCATGGGAAATTGTGTATTTTTGTATTAGCAGGGGTGACTGTTAATTTGCTAGATACACATGGGTACTTGAATCTTAGCTTTTCATCCACACTATTTATTGTGTCTTATTACAGAAAACAGATTGGTGAAGTACTAAATTACATCTAGTTGTCAAAGAATCAGACCACTTAAGTGTAGGAATTTTTACCAGTGCTTGGTTTAAACCAACCAAATAATAAGTACATTTGAATTTAATTATATTCTTTAGAAGTGACAATTTGGATTTTTACTCTTAAGTGCTTCAATACCAAAAGCTTCTTAATACATGCACGGGCTCTTCCAATCCTCTGTGCTCTAAACCATTTTGTCAACAGAACTGAAGCATTTAACTTTCTTGTTGTACTACTGGATGTTTTATTACAGCACACTGAGCCATAAGGAATTCAGGTTCATCTATCCAGTACTGCCATTCTGCATGATATTTTGTGGTAAGCATTGGTTTCAAATGTCTTGCAACCTTACCTGGATATAATTTTTATCCATTTTCACCTTATTTGATCAAGAAGTCTTAGAATTAACCTAGCCCTTTCTTACAGCTAGTTAAAAAGAGAAAGAAAAAAGATGAGTGAGAGCAAGTGACTGTAGCACAGATAAAGAATCCTTAGGATGGCTAAAACTATTCCTGCAAAAAGACGACAGTTGTGTGCCTTTTCCAGTTATTAGCTCCTTCAAGCAAAGTGGGGAAAAGGGACAGTGATTGAAGATGGGAAAAAAAATGAAGGCATATGCTTTTCCAAGGCCAGAAGGCCAAAATTTAATAACAATAAAGGAATGCTGTAGTTTTCAGCATTTTGGAGAAAAAGAATACCACAGCCATGCACATGTAGTTACCATTTATTCTGGCTCTACATGGACTTGCATGAATCAGAACACATCAGTAAGTTGCCATATATCATTCACCCAAACCATTGAACGGACTGTTTTTCACTACAATAAATTATATTTAAAGAGACAAAGCACTGGTTTTGAAATTGTGTTTCTGTATTTCAGGAGACAGGTGTGGGCTTAAGATTTACTCTGTTAAATCCAAAAATTAAAAGTGCAAAGTGTTTGAAATTCAAAGCATTTGAATTTCCATTCAAGGGGTAAAGACTCAAAGAACAGTGTAGTAAAGTATCTCAAAGCAAAGTATTGTTATTGACTGAGTAATGGTTTGCCACTCTATTAAGGTACTTTCAAAAATGTGTGAATTGCTTATCTCCCAAACTTACTCAAATGTTTCTATAGGATATTCTTTGAAATACCTGAAAGCATGGAAGAAAACTGCAGCAAGTTTCCTACTGTTATCCAATTTAGTCCCAGCTCTGTACACAGGCTTGGTTCACCAGCGAGGCACTCTGGATGTTATGAGTCACATCCAGCAGCTCTGCAATCACTCTCAGCAGTCACAAGCTTTTGTCTTCATCCTGATGCCATGCCACTCTACTCCATTTTACAGGTATTAGAAGTGTTAACAGTGCACTACATTAAAATCCAAACTCTTTACCAGAAATCAAGATTTCTTTTTTCCAAGGCTTAATTGAGATATATAAATGTATACAGGAAGAGTTTTGATTTTCCATACAGTTAATACAGAGTGAATAGGGGACCTGAACCAAATGCTTATACCACAGAATAAAATTCAGCATCTAAGCTTTACTCATTTTTGTGAAATAGCTTTGTATGAGGATATGCAGTAAGTCTAATTACTTCACTAAGTATGTCACACTTCTTCATTATGGCAACATTTTTAGCAAAATTAAACACTAATTGTTATAATCAAAATGTATTAATTTTACTTCTAAAGTAGGCAGAAGTAAAATTTTACTAGGCAGTAAAGAACCGTCATTACAACAGTGACTTAGGTCATTGCAAAAGGTTTTCAGTAGATCTTGGCAAATAAACACTCAATGTTAATGCAGATATAAATAGTGAAGCTGATATGGAAAAGTACCTTTTTAAGAAATAGGTATTGTGCAAATGGTATTTTTATTAAGTTAAATGTATTTTCTGTTAACTGCTAACAACACTCCCAGCAGTTTGGAGATGAGTTTGCTTGCTCTACATTGCTTTCATATGAAGTATTGAAGGGAAGAAAATACTACCCTGAGGAAAAAAAAATAATTGATTTTTGCTTTGACTGAGGTGTCTTTTGAAGTGATGAGTCATTTCAAATCTCTGATTCTGGTCAGTTTATCATTAAATGTGTTTTTGTTTTTCTCCCTAGTCATGTTCACTGTCCTCTAAAAATGAGATTCCTTCAGTGTCCCCCAGACCTAAGTGGCAATGCAAGCTACATTGATGAAGCAGATGTGTTTTACTCTAACCCACTTGGCTGGCTGAATAAGGAGTTTTACAATGACACATTATTACCCAGTCACTTGATCCTCTTCAATGTGCTAGAAAAGGTATGGTAACAGCAAGATGAAACAAACTACTTCGGAGGATAAGTTACAAAATAAATTAGGGAAGAGTTATAGTTAAAATTTTTGAAAATTGTTATTCACAACTTTTTAAAACATAGCTTATATTAAAATTGACCCGTCTAGCCCATAATAAGATTATTGATATCATTCCACTGCTATATATTTAATGTTCATCTATTCCCTCTCCTCTGTGCAAATTCTACAGGCCACAAAGTAATGGAATTCTTTATGGAATTCTTCATGGAATTCTTCTCAATCCATGCTAAAACAAATGTGCCATCTGTTCCCAGAAACTGCACTTTTAAGTAAGCAACAATGAAACTAAAAACACCTTTAGTCACAGTACCTTTTAACCCCTCAAATCTTTTATGAAGTCCATGCACTCAAAGAACGGTGGCTGGTGAATATCTGCTCCAGACAGGATCAGGCAGGATAGGTGCTTCTTTTTCTAGCAGACTTTCCTAAAATAAAGGATAAAGCTTCCCAGGGACAGTTGAACTGATGGTTGTCAAGAAACTTTTGAACACTATTCTTATGCTCTCAGCTGTGTTTTCTTACTGTGGAAATTAATGTATGTTCATTTGCAGGAAATATCATCATTTCTAGCTTTATGGGACTATGAGAAAACAGCCACTGTATTTCATACTCATGTACCTCAAGGACGAGTTGGAAGCCACATCTCCATCTACAGGAGAAAAACTGAAATTAATTATCCCTGAAGATCAGTGGCTAGACCTCAGACCAGATCAGTTTTGCATAGCAGTAGCTATGCTTACACCTCATGGTGCAGAAAGGAGAAAGCAGGGAGCCTGAAACTGGGGAAGTCAATGGGAGGTCCCATGAGGCAGCCATGGCTGCCTGCAAACACAAAAACCTCCTGAAGGCAGCTTCAGTAGCAGTAGGGCAGGGTGGGGTTGCTGACCTACCTTACAACACTAGAAAGCATTGGGAAGACCAAAATTACCATATGAATACGTAAGCAATACAATACAGACAAAACTGGACTGTTTCTATAGAACTGTACAACTATGCTGAATTTCTTTTATAAATAAAGACGTTTACCCACAATGTCTCTTTTATTTTTCTTCTACAATATGCAGATATGCAAGACATTTCAAGTGTTTAAATCAGCACGCTGATTAGAATGCAGCACAGCAAATTCTTCACAATTCAACAGGCTCTTGAACCCCCCCAAAGACAGGAAGCAAATGTAAGGTTACAAAACACTAACAAATACATTACCACAATGTTGATCGATTTTTTGAAGGATGAGATGAAGTTAGTATATCAAACATTGGAGTTAGTAGTTGGTACATTTTGCATGGCTCAAGCTTTAACTACACTAATGGAATGCAATTAAGCTTTATTTTCATACACAGGTCATGGCATGCCTAGTTTCTGCAACAATACTGCTGGCACCCAAACTATGTTTACTTCGAAAGAACAGTTAAAGCAACGGTACAGAATATGCAAATCAGAAAGCCTGACTTCTGCCTGTTAACAAAAATGTGTAAAAATCAAATTATTCAGAAAAAAAAACCACTTGCATTTTGCTGCTTTGTTGAAAAACAATTAGTTTCCAGAGAGCATGTGAATTTTAATCTTAATTTTTACAATAAATTACTCAGTATTTTGGATCGAAGGGCAGTTGCCCCAATTCTATTTCAAGATTTGCCATGTGTCTTCCATTAGTGCGACCATGTTTATACCATTTACCTTCTCTTTTATTACGGTGTTGGTACTTCTGAGCTTGTTTTTCATGTCTGGAATTTTCAGTTTGTGTATAAGGTCTTTTAGGTCGACTGCAAGGAGTAAACAAAACCTTATTACTACTAAAAGCATTTTGTAACACAATTACATTTTCAAGTACAGCTTTTAACATGCTGAAGTTCACTGGAAATAAAATTAGTAGTAAATAGTCCTTTAGCTTGTAAGAAAAATGGGACAGGGATATGTTTAAATCATGAATAAGATGGTATATATAAAGAAATGCTTTCTGAAAATAAAAATGCAGCTGGTATCACAAGCTTCTGGATGACAGTATCAGTAAAAGAATGTGGAATTGTTTTGCTGCAAACTGAAATTCTCACAAATTAGGTATTTAATTTAAAAATAAAGTTCATTTGATAATAAATTAGAAAGATGGACTATAAATAAAATCATAAACCTTATGTGTTTGCCAAAACCACATTAACTGGGTAGCTGATAATAAGACAATCACCTTTATGGTTCAGCTTTCAATAGAAAAAAGTGGTACTTCACGTAATACTTAGTAACCCTAAAGCAGTTAATTGTTCAGACTTGCAGCTGCAGTAAAGTACATGAAATGATAAATAATACAAGTGTAAAGTTGTAAAGCCCTGAGAACACCTTTATATCCAGGAAAGGAATGCAGGAAACAATTAACACCAAGGACCATCGTGAGCAAGTCTGAACAAAACTCAGTCATGGTCAGGATCTAACTAAAGCCTGCTGTGTGATGAGCTCTGCTCTGGGCATACAGACTAACCCAGTGTCACCTCATCTACAGGAGAGTAGTGAAATGTATCTGCCAGAACAGGACTCGGAGACACCTCAAATATACTCAAAAACCTCATTCAGCAAACGACAAAAAGGAAGCCCCAGTTAATGCTCCAAGACAGTTCCTCATTTGATCAGATGGTCAATCAGAGCTGTTTGGTCTAAAGAAATCCTACTGGCAGTTACAGTTTTCTAAAGAACCCAGCAGAAACATCAGATTGTGCTATGCACACACACAGAATTTATATAAAGGTTCTATAGATCCACTTTATATAACATAATCTAATATTTCCACTAAGTTCTTCAGGAAGTCTTCTAGCATATGTGTGTGTGTATATGTATACACACACATACATACACATACCTGCTCAAAGACCATCCATCACAACAAGGACATTGGTTGTCTTTACAAAAAACACTTTGTGTTATCAAGTTCAGGAAACATGGAAACAAACCTGGGTCCATAGTGGGGTGAATTATCGTAGTGGAAGTAGTATCTGTAGACGTATTTGTCCAAATCCTCAAAAACCTTCTCATTATTACTTTGGTATTCCTTCATATCTTCCAGGTAATCCTTGACATCATTAACAAAATCAGTGAACAGCATCTGGTCGTGTATAAACAATCCATTATGAAAAAACTTATTGATGAAATTTTCTAGTTCTCTCCAGTGATGAAAGTTATGAACAACTTGCTGCAAATACTTTCTCATTAGCCGATTAAATTCATCCACCCTGATGGGATCCGAAACTCTGTTGAAGAGACTGATGAATTCCTGATGAGCACATTCAAAAATCCCAGAGCAGCCCTTCAGGGCAAACTGATGTTTTCTATTACACAAATGATCACTGAGACATTTCTGGGAATCTGAATCTTTTTCAAATGTTGTAAAATGATGTTTCCTTCCATTTCTGGATTCTTTTGGCATGTGAGGTCCCCTGTAATGCATGTGCTTCAGATTCTCGTAAGAGTTATGGTCTCGGTAAAAAGTTCGAGCTTTCTTGTTTGCCTCATATCTTTTATCGCTTGATGACTTCTCTTTTTCATCGAAGATGTTTTTTGTGGTATCTTTGAAGTGCCTGAATGTAGATTTTACAGAATCAGAGAATTTTTTCAAGTTTTCTTTCACTGCTTCTTTAGCCTGCTTAATCTTTTCTTTGTGGTGTCTTACAAACTCTTTTGTGGAATTTTTCATAGCATCGAAAGTTTCTTTAACTGAACCAAAAAATGTCTCCTTTGATTTCTTTCTACTCTTACTTTGCCCTTTAGCACCTTTCTTTTGTCCATTTTCATTAATTTCTTGTTTTTCAGATTGGTCTTTTGCTTCAACATACAGCTTCTCCCATAAGTCAGAGCGTTGCTGCTCAAAGTTTAGCTTTTTTTCTAGTTCTGCCAGTCTTCCTCGCAGAGTTTCTATTTCTTGATTTTCTCTTAATGTCTCATCATCATCATCATCAGTGCTGTCAGGTGTTTGACGAGAACTTAACTGTTCTAGTTCTTTTTTCAGAGCTTCTGTAACATGGCGTTCTTTGTCCAGTTCTCGCCTTAGCATCTGTGCCTCTGCAAAGAGTGTTTCCTTTTGCCTGAGAAAATTGCTGTTCCTTTGCTTTTCTTCTTCCAAATGCTCCCTTAGTTTCTGATTTTCTATTACAATAGATTCAGTGCTACTACCTTTATCTTCTAAGTTCCTAATTTGTTGTCTTAGCTTCCTTAATTCTTCCTGAAGTGAGGCCAAAGCTTTTTCTTCTTTCTCTAGAGATTCTCTTAGGTGCTGATTTTCTGCAGCAAGACTTTTTTTTTGAGAATCAGAGGATTTCTTATCCACCTCAGTAAAGGTCAAACATGTGGCAAGATCTCCCTTGAGTGACTAAAAGAAACAAAAATAAAACAAGTAGAAATACTACAATGAGAATTGTTACAATTTTAGCTAGAAAGATGAAAAACCAAGGCAGCCCAAACAGAGCTTACTTGTCATTTTGGATGCAGTGAAACATGCACAGCAAGATGCAAAAATAGAGCTACTTTGTTTATCTCAGTTGGGTTTGTTTATCACACACTTTCTTGGCAACAAAGACCATGTGAGAAACTCTCCCAGCCAGCCAGAGGTCATCACCCCTCACTTGTATTGGTTTAACTAGCTAAAGAATAGTCAGTTGGGTACATGAAGTCTAACATCTTAAAAGGAAATCAAAATGCGCATCATTGCTGTTGATTTATGTTCAGCAAGATGGATTTACAGATTACCAAAAAAATTAGCAGAAGCAAAGACATTTAGTGGGGCAGAAACTCACAAAGTGATTTTGAACTTAATCTGAAAGTACCTGTTTGTGTAACTATATACTAAAACAAAAGGAGCTCCCCGGTCTGTTGGGATCATTGACAAGCTCTAGAACATACTGAATTATATACAAATGCTGCTAACAGACACATAAAAGAAAACCTAAAAAAAAAATACTCCCTAATCTTCTCTCTAGATGATGCAACAGTAAAAAAACAGGAATACGGCTTAAGTATTTAAAAAGTTAATAACCATTGATAATTTAGAAAGCAAATTCACAAAACCTGTAGGTTCAACATGTTTTTACAAGCATTTTCTACTTCAGCTGTCCTCATTAACGACAACCTGGCACTGTATCACAGGGAAACAGAGTCTCTGTGTCCAGATAACTCCTGGACTACAGACATAAAACCCAGTATGTTTAAACACATTCCAGAAGCAAATTCAATCAACATGAACATTTGTCAAGAATTCAGGGGAAAGTTCTCTGAAAGAACTTACTAAAGACAAAAATGTAATGGATTTGTGTGAGAAATTCATTTCACTTTGTGCAAAATACACACATAATGACAGAATTATGCAATGACTTCCAGCTAAGCCCACACCTACCCCCACTTTGTGGTGCATTTGATCTCCTTGCTCTTGTTGGCACTGGTAAAGGTCATCTTTCATATCTTTTAATTCACGTGTCTTTGTCACCAGCTGCTGCCGTTTCTGGACTTGCACTGTACCTACAAAGATAAAAAAAGTTTATTTTGATAGACCGACTTAGAGTAAGCAGAGGAACAGAGGAACCTAAACATCATCTTCATTCTCTTTGAAATCTCAAAAGTATTCTTAACTTGCCATTTCAGCCCTGTCCTTACCAGAAACTGTTTAGCTGTAGCAAAATTGTTTTTTTCAATGATAAACCATTTCTCAGACCCAAAAATTTCCTTCTACATTGTTTTTTCATTAATAAAAAATAAAGGAATTTTGGAAGACTATATAGAAATAAGTTAGAGCCAAACCAACAAGTTATGCAGGAAAGAATATTTGTGACTTCTCTGTAAGTTTTTTAGTAACAGGCAAGTAAAACAGGATAAAATGGAGACTATTGGTCCATGCATTATCCACTTCAGAACTACAACCTTGAGTATTAATTGATTTACATGAATAAGAGGGGATTAGCACAGTGTTTAAATTTTCATACAGAAATACAATTATTACACACTGCTCACAAAGCAGCAAGTATTGCAGGCCCTGTCGTGTCCTTCTTATCCATAAGCAAAGGCTGCAGAGTAAGTAAGTGTCCCATTTTTCAATTGTCAGATAAGGACTCAGACACCCTGGTTTTCAGAAAAAGTATCTTTGCTGTACTAGCCACCAAATTTTTTTGTCAAGAACAGCTTCTTGACTGGTACTTCCTCACCTAATACACATTCTCTAAATCCTAACACTGATGTAGTTTTTATATATTTGCTTTTAAGATTCTCTTGAATTGACTCTAGAGAAGAAGGCAACAGAAGTTTTTAGGTGTTTCTTTCAAAACCAATGCAGAATTATCATAATGGAAATAGTATCTGTAGCACTCTATTCAGAGCTCTATTTCTGTATTTAAGGCAGAGAGAGATATATTGTTAAACACAAGAAATATTGTAAATACACTTACACTGATGAATGTTTCGTGCTCTCTTTTTACCTATTGTCAGGTGTGACCTTAAAAAAGACTGTTATATTAAACCAAGTTGAACCATAATAGTCCAATTCAGCTATGCAAAGACAACATTTTTACAGCAAGGATTTTAAGTCTGCAGCATCCTGATAAACACTTCTTGAGAGCATTGATCCTTTCATATACTGACAGTAAATTGGGTTTTTTTATCTTTTATAGATACTTTTGAGGAAGTCCATCAATCCTAACAATCTTAAAGCCTGCATCTGAAAAAATCATCATTTAGCATTAAGGGGTTCATGTTCTACCTAACATAATTACAGAAAAAAACACTTAAAGCTCTTTTTCTCTCCTTATCAAAAATCCTAATTTAGGTACAGTAAGCAAAAATAACATTTAGCATCACTGAAAATTAACATATTGAGGTGCCATTCCTCAGTAATTGGTTTGTGTTTCCAGCTGGTACTCTAAGTCACAGTATTCTTCAGATTCTTTAAGTAACCAATCCAAATCCCTAGCATTATAGCTATAGTCCCCCTTGCAGTTTCTGGTTAAAGAAAAAAGTTAAATATCTGAATGTCCATAAGGAGACATTTTTCTGGCAAGGACCTTCTACATAATTTAAACTTCATCTGTTACCTGAAAAGTTTGCCTTCTTTCAGTTCTCCTTCCTAGAGCATCATAAAGCCAGTTAACTCAGTTTTATACTGATGAGGATACAGTTGTTGATTAAAATCTAACCCTAGTTGCTTTCTACATCTCTGAAAGTCTTAAGGGGGTCCTAGAGCTCTAGCTAAAAGGAAAACACTATTCAGATATTGATTCAAAAAAAGAATAGTAATTTTATAATATGTTACGCTTTCCAATCCTCTCACATAACACTATTAGCCTAACATTAATTCCAAGCTGAACCACAAAAATACAAAGTAGTCCTCTAGGGAGATGGACTTCTCTCTGCAAGTTTGTGTTCAAAAAAACACAAACCTAAAAGCAGGAAGATGGAAGCAGAAGTTCACTTCCTTTCTAGTGGTAGAAAGATAAGTTATCACATAACAATGAAGAACTTTCACTTGAAGAAGCAACAATTGAAGCCACACAGAGTTGTCTTCCTTCTGCTGAAAAATGCTGCCATCACTGTCATCAATGATGACAATTTTTACTTAGAAGTATAGATTCAATGAATGAACAAGTGCATTTCTTAAAAAATGTATTGCCCTGAGTCCACGTTCAAAGTGTATTTTCCATCCACAGATCTTCAAGTTCTTTAAAAAGATAGTGTTTATCATTAGCACCAAACTAAACAGAGTGAAGTGATTAACAACTGAAATCTCAAGTTCCCCTCACAAGCACTATCACAGATTGCTGTGGTCACTGTGCTCCTCTATGCCTGTATCATGCCAATGCTCACCAGTTTTCACACCAGTTACTACTACATAAAGTATGTTTGTATAACATTTGGATTAGTTGTTCCTATAATCCCACATCAGCAATTCCTGAGACGTGATTATTGTTTGATTTTCATAATGTAAGTATGCATACATATTTGGATGTGTGCGTACACATACACACGCATGGTTTAAAGAGTAAATCTGAATGCAAGCACAGCATCCACAGTACATCACTCAAGGCTCTTACCTTCAGGTTTACCTGAGGATAAAAACAAAATGGGATCAAGTGAAAATTAATACAAATCTCAAAAGAAATGCTAAACTTTAAATCCCTATTAGTCAACACCAAATCCAAAGAAAATTATATCCCCATCTCCAACTGAATCATGTGTCTTTTTAGAAAGGCATATTTTCATATAGAACTAGAGCTACTCAGGAAAAATTATTATTTACCACATTACTGTATGAATAGTGTATATTACATACAGTTGCACTGCTACAGGACCTCCCTGTATTAACACTACAGCTGCAGTTGCTTTCTCTCATTTTTAGGTTGTTAGCTGAGAAGAAGAAAAACCATCGGAGTCACAACGCAAGCTGCGGACTCGGTGCGTGCCGCTTTGCCTGAACTCACCGTAGAAGTGTCCGAAGCCCATGCTGATGGCTATCACCAGCGCCAGGATGATGCATCTGTTGAGGCCACTGCTGAACTGGCGCTTGTGCTGCTCGTCCCGGGCCGGCTCCGGCTCGGGCTCGGCTGCTGCTGCCTCGGGCTCGGAGCCCGACACCCCGCGCTTCCGCGGGCGCCGCTTGCGCACGGCCGGGCCGCTCGGGCCGCTGCCTTCATCGCTGCTGGACTCCTCAGGGCTGGCCTGAGATGAGAAAACTGAAAAGCAACGCACAGCGCTGGTTAAAACATATTCAGTACTGTGGTAAAGAGCAAACTGAGTATCAAGATATGTCATATTTATGCAAAACAGATTTGGTGTTTATCTTTGAGAATATTAATAAAACAAAATTAAAATTCTAATTATGTCATTTTGCTGGAAATTATGCAAGGAATGTGTGCTCTCCAAAGTTTAATTTTTTTTCTTTTTTTAACAAAATAATAGAGAATCAAGACATTATCACTAAAAAGCTGTGTGGCACTTATCATTCACTCGTTGCAAAGTGTTTCAGTCAATCCTGTCTCCTAAAGCATCTACATGTACTGCCCCTGCAAATTTTTGTGAAGTAGAAAGACAAAGAATTCAGTTTTCCTTCTCTTGCAGCTGTTAAAACTGAAATAGTTTATAATGAAAAAGCAATACACAGGCTTCCTAAAAGAAGGCCTCCTAGAAGACAGTTTTGTTACACACTCTCAAAAAACTTCATTCTGTGATCTGCATGCAATTGCAGAAAAAAATCAGCTTTCAACTGTATACATTCTGTACCTAATTCACATGTCTGGAATAAATTCAACGGGACCAGTGAAGTCTCCAGACATGACAAAGTGTTCCTGCTTGGACATTAATTTTGCTGCTCACAGTCACACAATGCAAGTGCCCCTCCTAGAAATATGGTTGTTCATTCTCTTATCAGATGTCATTACACAGAATGTAAAAATAGAAATATAGAGAGGCTGTCCTTGAACAGTTCACAACTGAAAAATCATTTGTTTGAGCAAAGCCATGCACACATCACTGAACAGACAAGAATGCCAAGCAGTGCTAGCTATTATCTATAAAATGCACTACCACTTAAGATTCTTCACTTAAAATAAATTACAACTTGAAAGAGGTGATTTCAAGCCCAGAAAAGATTATCAATTAGTATCTGAAACACTTCTAATTTCTAAGTCCATGGACAAGTAATATGACAGATTATGAAAGGCAACTTCCTCCCTTAATAAAAAACTTCATTTTAGTAAATCAGTCAAACCAGACCAACCAAGCAGACTTTGCAATAAAGACAAATCACTTAAACAGTGACTTGGATGTGCAGACACTTAAATGAATTTCTATCGCTTAGTAGAGAAGGACACCATTTTATACCCAGTCATTTAAGCAGATGCATAATTCCCAATCCTGAAAAACAATGGCAAACATTCAGAATGCGTTCCTAAAATGCAGAGCTCAGACATTATAGAGAAATATACAGGACAAACTTAGTAAGAGATGTTTTTCTTGTTCATCTGTGGGGATTTTTAGGATTTTTCAATAACCAAAGAAGCTTACACACATGTAATACAAAAGTAGTTAAGGAACAAGCTGCTTCTCACCAAATGGGAAAATTCTTGGATACACACTGGACAGCAAAGAATAGGAAAGGAGTCAAAAAATGACTATCAGAAAGAAAAATGCTGTAAGATACTTAACGACATTCATAAGCACTTACTGCCATGTTGTCAACAGCAATTACACTTTCAGGCAAGACATTGCCTTACAGCTGCTGTAAGAATTCAGTACAAAGCTGTGCTCTAACAGAACCAGGATGGAAACGACTACAAATGAAACCAAGTGTGACCACAATAGCAGTCCAAAATCCTAGTTTCTACGGTGATTTTGAAGTGTCAGATCTATACCAGAAATCAGATTAAGCTGACATTTTTGCACGGACACAGCTCAGATACAGTTCACTGTAGCATATGGGTACTTCTGCTGGCTGAACTTCATTCATGAAACAATATTAAAACATTTCTGTTTGCATGATGAAGACAACCTAAACAGGAACTAATTTGCAAAAAGAAGTGGCAGAAAATCCTTGTAGAAGGCTTTAGTATCTACATTAGGAAGAATCTGAGGCTCATCCTTTTCCAATACAAAAGAACACTCATCAGGAAGTGTATGGCAAAGATTTCTGTTGACACTTTTTACTTTTTCTCACTTCTAAAACTTCAGCATTTAAAATACTTGCAAAAGTATTTTGCAAATACTCCTGACATTTTCTGCAATACTTGATCAGTTGAATGCCCAGCACTAAAGGTCATGCTGAAATCAGCTTATGTTAGAAGGATGAAATTCTTTTTGCCAGTCACATGTAGGCTTGGAATCCAACAAGAACTATCCACTGAATCAATCCAGCACACACATTCAAATGTATTACAAACCTTACTAACATCTGCTCCAAACTTACATGCAAGGTTAACATCTTTTTAAAGAAGCACATAAGACACCCACAGCTTAGCCAAGTTCTCCAGTGAGGATTGGCTTTCAGCATCTGTCTAGAATATGACTACAACAAGATCAAGTCAGATTGCTTTCAAAAATTGTAAGAACACTCCATGCAAGCCTTAAGCAATCAGCTTTGCACAAGCTGATCAAATTTAATCACACCACCTTGAAAAGGAAGACTGCGAGATACATGCTCTTTCACCTCATTTCCCCATCCCCTTACACAGTCAGGAATCTTCCACAGCTTCTCCAGCCAACTGACTTTTGTGTACAAAAACACAGAGGGGGAAAAAAAGACACTTTTAGAACTCATCCCTAAAAGAAAAAAACTAAGTCAACTAAATCTTAACTTAAAACTTAAGTCAGATTCCCCGAAAGACTTAAAGAAGGTGACAGCTTTGTTACAAATCTTCACTGGTTATAATTAGATGCTAAGCTGTCACTTTCTGTTTCCAGTGGATACTACACAGATACATGAACATTTAATGATGCTGTATCCTACTCTAAGGTAAAACGGTATTTTAGGTAAAGTCCTGCTTGTATAATAAACTTAATTTGAAAGACAAAAATCAGCAATACAAAGGTGTCATAAAGAGAAAAGAGAACAGAAGAGATTACAAATAAGCAGCTATAAAGAATTATAGAGGAAGACTACAGAATAGCAACAAACAGGAAGTTTTTTGTTTGGATTTGTTGGAATTATGTTTGTTGTTCTTCATTGGACAAATATCCATCTCCTTCCTCCTGATTATAAAGCTCAGCTTATTTCAGCCAAGCACTGGGAGTATCTTAAATATATAAATATACACTACATAGCTATGAAGGTGGTACAAAGTTTTTGTAACCATACTGCTTAGTCCTCATGGCACCAGAAAGCATCTCCCACTTGCTAGTCATTTATGCCAACTCTATATAAAGCCCAAAATATTGCCAAGAGAAAACCTACAATTCTTCTGTGAACTAAGAGTAATTTTAATTCTCCAAGATATGCTACAAATTAACTTTCCATTTAACTTTCCATTTAAAACAGTGAACACTGAGAGAGATTGCTTTCAAATAAAAAGATCATAGACATACATTTAGACAAAATTGTAGAGGGCATCTAGATTTTTCCTAGAGACTGCAAATACTTGGATATGTACTCAACAAAACCACTATTTTTTTCCTCTCTCCACAAAAAGTGGGCTCCCTAACCAAAGATTGGATTGGATTTTTTCCCTGGTGACATTTTTGCACACGGTTGCTTAGGACTGTACTTCTCTTACCAGTTTCTACATGGGAAAATGCGTATTGACTGCTAGAGGAGGAACCCATGTTAAAATCCTCTGAACTCTGAGCTTCTTCACCATCAGCTGGAGCTTCCTCCTGACTCTGAGTTTCTTCTGGTTTTGGAGCTTCAAGTGTGACAATGTCAGAATCATCACTAATAGCTCCAATGCAGGACCCATCATCAGGAACTTTTTCTTTATTTCCCTAGAGAAAGGGACAATGTGAGAATTATTCAGACAAAAAAACCATAAAATAATTAAAACAAGCAAACAAAAAAATAAGAATTGTTAGAACTTCAGGAAAGGAAAAATTTGTGTCTTTATTTTAATGCTTTCAAAACATTTCTTGCCATTGACAGATGGGGTTTACAGAAGCTTCTGAATAATGTAGTCTGTAATATAATTTACCTCTGGAACTGTCTGAGATTCCTCAAAACCAGATAGAGCATTATCTACTGCTGGGATCTCTTCATCATTGTTGCACTGAGCTATATGAATAAAAAGAGGAAATAAACAAGCAAACAAATATGGGATTAAAAGCAGCAACCATATATTATGCCCACACCCATGTAATATTAAAATACAGTGTCATAATGTCATTTTTTAGGATTACAAGCATTGATGGTTCCTTCTAAATTATTCTTATTTAATCTATTACATTACTAGGGAATAATTATTTTATCAATAACACTTCTATAAACTATCTTACAGCAACACCACATTATTATATATATATACATTATATTGTGGACATTATTCTATAGCACATCCGAAGTATGGACAAAATTACAGACATTATGTTAATTTCACATATTTCAGGAAAAATACTTTTATAAAATCGATGACTGAATATTTTCCATAACACTGCTGAAGCAAATACCATGACAGAGGTCCACAAAGCACATAAAGATCTATTCAAAATACTAATTTTATGCCAATTCTACAAGAAATATTGACCTATTTCATGAAACTGCTTCTCCTTTTATATCATACCTTGCACATCAATTGCCTGCTCCTCTTCTTGCAAAGAAACATATTCTTCTGAAACAAACTCATGGTTGTCATTTGTGCTTCCATTTTCTGAGGTCACTGTCTCTATGTCAGAACCCTGAAGGTGAAGAGTTTAAATGGACATTACAGTTACTGGGGTTTCCAATAGTAAAGTAGGAAGAAAGGGTTACAAAGAAAACAGAGTATTACTAATAAAACAGAAACAGAAAAACTGAGCCTTTAAAACTGAAGACAGCTTTGAGCGAAGACAAGCAAGCGAAATACCAACTAATTAACTAGAGTGAAACAAGTGTTAGTGTGTAATACTCATGACCAAGGTTAAAAAAAGTTAGACAAGGACAATTCTTGAGGGGAAAAATGACAGCAATTTGGGCATTAATTAACAACTACACCGAGCATTTTAAACAACTATTATTATTGTCATTATTAGACCTGTTTATTAAACAGAATTTAGAGAAACAGAGAAAGTTTTGAATATGGGATCTAATTCTTGCTCCCAGGTCCATCTATTGTATGCAAATACACAAACCCTCCCAGAAATAGAACTTTCAAGCATTCCAACATGAGCTCCAATAAATACTACTGCCAGGAAAAACTATGTATAACTTTACTCCATCTCAATTCCCATGAGAAATTTTGAAAGGCTGCTTATATAGTACATCTCTGACACCTCAAAACCAAATATTTATACAAATTCTATATTGGATTTCTGTCATTAATCCAGAAAGGAGTTTTTGTTATTAGTCAGCTGCCAGGCAGCAACAACACCAGAGCACAACAGGAACTGCAAATAAAGAACACTAGGAGACTGCAGGGTACTAAAGTCAAGCACTCTGCTTGACAATTCCAAATATTTAATCTTTTTATTGTAATTTTTGTTTAAAAACAGTGATGAGACACCAGTAAAGCAAACTACAAACATGCAAAACATAACTGAAAAAATACTAAGTCACTCTGATCCATAAATAAGTTGAGCTGTTTTTGTAAACAGAGATAGTTATTTTTGCAACAGCAGGTGTGAAATTACAGTAGCAGCAATACTTCCATATCAGTTTCCCTGGATGTCTCATTTCAGGACTCAAGCAAACATGTATGCTTTTGTTTTTACAGAGACTGTGTTTCAGGAAGATTATATACTTCAAAAAGAATTGCATAAGATACATTCTATGTCACAAATTTATGTTTCCTTTTTAAAAGGCTTCAAAAATTAACTGCTTTGGTAAACTGTTAAACATTGTGTACCTTTTTTCTTTTTTAAAACACTTTGTATCTTTTTTCCTTTTGACTACATAAGTATCACAACTTTGATTTCATGTGTTTTGCAGAAATTTACCTCTCATTTACAAGTAATTTACTATAATCTGAGTGAAAGCTCAGGAAAGAAAATACAAAGTTATTTGGGTTTTTTGGGTTGGTTGGGTTTTATAGATAGGTATACAGGTTTATTATGTGACAATTTTCTCTGGTGTGATAGAACCACTGTTCATTTCTTAAATTGTGAATAAGAAGAATAACAACATTTAAGTTTGCCCAGGCTCCACAAGAAGAAAAACATCAGGAGTATTGCTTAAGACAGATTACAATTTTAGCTAAGAACCCAAGATAATGGACTAGCTGAGTACACAGTAAGCCATGCTTAGAAACACACGGGTGTGAATGTATGAACTCTCTGATCCACTGATCTGATGCTGGACCTTCATCACTCTTCCATCTCAGCAATAGCAAAGAGGTCAAGAAAAGATATTGTCACCTCCCTACTCTCCTACACAAAATTAGCAAGTCCTTTCTTAGGAGCAGCCCAACAATGCAGAGCACTGCTTCTCTGTCCAAAGCCCACACAGCTGCCAGCTCCCTGCAGCCACAGCCTGGACAGCAGCCACTTCCTGCCCTCCAACTCACTGCAAAACCTATCCACAAACAGGTTCCACTGGGTCATCATCAATACAGGTCACAACAGTATGTGAGAAAATCATACCACAGTACTCCAAATCTGTCTAACCCACAGTTCTACCCCTAAATATCCAAATCAATTCAGTGTAGTACACAGTAGTCCATGTGTGAAGGGTACCTGGCCATCCCATCCATTCTGCTTTCTTCATGCTCAGATTCAAAGCTGTCCTATCAGAAGAATGCTAATAATGGCAGTTCTCAAACACAAGTGTTTTCTCATTTTTATTTCACTGAATCAGGGATGAATAACTGGGAACACAAAATCTCCATGTCACAGAAATCTGTTCTGCTTCAGCTAGACAAATCCCAGCCATCCTACAATCTTGTGTTATGTTAGCTTATTTAGACTGCATAATTCATTTGCAGTTACAGTGTAAAATAACCATCCCAAGAATGAAAATAAAGTCTGCACTTCACAGCTGAATAACTCAACTGCTGAACTCAACCTCTAAATCCTTTTACTTTTATCTGAACTCTGTGAGTCCAGCAGCCTGTACACTCTTGTAGCCCAGTTGGCCTTGGGGAATGGAATGCATGAGTTTTCTGTTTCTTTTGGTGATGAGATTCCCAACCTGTCATCCAGCCAAAAGCAAGGACAAGAAGTTTTAACCGTCTCTTAAATACTTTGCTGCCAACAGAAATGAAATCATGGCCCAATATTTATAAACTTCCAACTGTATCACTTGTGACACGGAACTGTCAAAACATGAGTGAAATCACAAATTTTTAATAGCATGGTTCCAAGTTACCCATTTTCATCACAATCTGGAAAACAGGGGAGTGTGCCATGGAGAACTATGCATGATCTTCAGCCATTTTTCCTGCTTTCCTCCTCTGAATGAAATATCTCAAGTACTGGTCCTTGAATTTTTTTCTGGGGCAGGCAATGAGTAGATGCAGGCAATACCTAAGTGTCATTCCAGGAAAATTGTCAACCCATCTGTCCTGAGGATTCTGGCTCAATGGCCTCCTCAGTTTACAAGACAATGCTAAATACGTAAGAACCAAACCAAACAAGCAAATCAACCCACCCATCCTACACTCACAGATCAGCTGAGATCTGCAGAGATACAGAAATCCTCAGGACTAAAGGAAGAAAGGATGCTGGATACCCACACTACCAGGAAGGGCTTCTCAGATGTTCTGAGCAACCCAGGCCCACCTTGTCCACTGTGGGAAGGGAAGATAAAACACATAAAACACTCTTCTTATCTACATTCATGTGTCTGCACCTGAGCAGGTGCTGAGGGCACCGTGTCAACCAGCACAGTCAGTGCAGTCATTTGATCAAACAAAGTGCTGACCTTGCCATAAGACTCCTGCCCTCCAGACTCCACTGACAGCACTGATTTCATCCACACAATGCAAACTTTGACACCCACATCAGATCCAGACACCTGTCCCATTACAGTGGTGGAATAACACTTGTCCCTATCCTAATTTTCTGTAAGGAAGACAACATAAGGACAGACGGCTGCTCCTGAACAGCCACTGCTGAAATTAGGATCAGATACTTTAGTGGTAGAAAAAACTTGGGGAAATCATGGAATCATTCCCTTCTGTACAAGATATTTTTCCTGCTCAGTATTCCCAACTTTGTTTCTTTTGGTGAGGGTACATATTTATCAGGAGGACAAGAAATATATTAGTAACAACAGACAAGTTACATAGAATGCTAATGTTTTCAGGCAGGGTGGAACAGAAGAATGCATGCCACTAAAATTCTACCAGCTCTTCAAAGTAAAACCCTTGGAGAAAAAGAAATTCTTTTAAATATCAAAATTTGTATCAACTATAGTAAAAATATACTTTTTTTTTAAAATAGAAGTTTCATTATTTACTTCTAAATTTCTATATTCTCTGTTGGTATGCCAAGATCCACACAAAACAAGAATTACTAAGCTGAAATAGTATTTTAGTGCATATAGATAGCCCTAAACTGACAGAACTTTACCAATGTGAAACTGGGTACCTCATGATTGATGACAGTCCATCCGCAAGATGAATCACTGTCACTGGAATTCTCAGACATTTTCAAAGCACGCTGCAGGTAAAAGTAGACTCTTTTAATATCCAAGACACACAATTTCACTGCTCTATTGAAAAATAAATAAACAGAATAATGGAAATCATGACATTACAGAAGAACATACTAACACAAAAATTGTTTTTCTATAATTGAGGAAAAAAAATCAGAATAATAGTTGCAAAAGAAAATATATTCTTTTGTACTTATTTCCTATTATCTTCTTTATACTTGGAGCAAATATAGCTTTGCTACGTACATACTTATTTCAGCCAGTCAAAAACTCTTAGACTAGACACACACACACAAGAAGCCAGTCAATAAATTAATAATTGAAGCTAAAAGAAGATGCTATAGACAATTTTCAAACATTAAATAATTTCTGCTTCGTTACATGCACAGAAACTACAGTTTATTCCAGAAAAACGGTGTGCATTTTTGGTTTTTTTTTTGAGAAGAAACAATTAGGATCTTTTGGAACTAATTTTCTTCAACTACTGGGCAAAATCAATGTTTCCTGTTTCACTCCTTTCAACTACTCTCAAATACACTGATTCTGAGGAAAATTGAGAGTACCTGGCAACTACAAAAACAGAATGAAAAAAACCCAAAGTATAAATTTTTTAAAATAATATTACGAGATGACTGGTAGCCACTTTCAGAAGAGAACTGTCCAGCTGCAGCTGCCTGTATATCTTTTCTCCTTTTTAACAGGAATTTATCAGGGATACAGAGTATTCATTAACATCATACTCAGATCAGTTTTTCAAGTCCTTAACTACCCAAAAGACTTTATAAAGAAGTTTAAAACATTTCTTGTTCCTTGAAAAAAAATATAGAGAGTTGTTATATAAAATTTACTATGATTTACTATAATTTACTAGGTTCATCTTGGTAGAAAAAATCTTCCCAAAATTGAACAATTTCCAATCGATTGCCTGTTATAGTATGCATCAACATAATAAAACAGCCAATGAAATCATAGTTCAATAAAGCTTTTATCACAGAATTTCAGACACCTGCTTTATTTCCCACTCTGAGTTAATTCCACTAAGGACACAGAGGAAAGCATCTGTGTGTTTAAATTTAACTGCTTTCTACTTTATTATCAATCCTGTCTTCACTCCTGGTTTCTCAACACAGCAATTATACAGAAAACTTTGAATGAGAACATCTGAGTACACCAGTGTGGCTAGAAATTGGCACAACAAAATATAAAACTTCCAATTCCATTTAGGTTTCTCAGAAAACACAGTAAACATGTGTCTCATATCTCTGCATTATGGTAGTTATTGCATGTTTTTCTAAGATAAAACTATTTTCTCATCAACTCTAATATATTTACAGTTCCAAAGGGAAAAAAAAAAAAAAGGCAATGGTGACAATCACAATAACAGTTTAAAAACAAATATTCACTAACAATCAACTTAGGTATGAAACCTAGAGAGAAACTGAATTTCTATTTTTTTATAAAGCCCTACTTTGAATATGGTTGCCATTTTCCTGTAGATATTTTTCTTCCTTCATTAGTGCTTTTCCCGGAATCTTAACCAGGGAATGTCAGGTTGGGAGGGGGTGGGAAGAAATCTATTTTGGTTTGAGTTGTTTGGGTTTTTTAAATCACACTGCATACAAGGATTTTTTTTTTTTTGAATCGTGATTTGTTTTTAAATCATACTTCTTCAATCATCAAAATAACAAATGCCCAAATGGCAAAGCCTGAGTTCTAGAGTTTACTTGTGACGATGACATCTGCTTGCTGGCATTAATTACTCTAAATCTGACCAGGCAGCAGCAGCAGCATTCCTTTCACAGTAAGGTAACTCCCAGCACCAGAACTCGTCACCTGTCAGAAACATCACTGGCTGCCCAGCAAAATCTGAAGTGAATTCTCAAAAGACAACTTCATGGCACCAGTACAGTTTGATACAAGTGCATCTACAGATTTTGAAAGCCCAAATTGTCACGGCGGACTCTGTGTTGGACATTGCAACATCTCTCTTCCTCCAGCTAGCTCAGCATTTCACCCTGGGCCTGGTGAACACAACAGAAACACCATCCTGCTCCCCCTCTCCAGCCAAAAACACACTGACAGGTAACTACAGAAACCCAAAGGTATCTTCTGTTCTCAACATACAACCATGGCTTTGGGCTCCACATAAACACCTGTCTTCCCATCCCAAACAAAAGTTTCAGTACCTCCATGGGTACCAACATCATCAAAATATATTAAATAAACAAACAAAGACACAAGCAGACAAACAATCATCATTTTCTCCTGCATACTTATCTTGATAAATGGCCTTAAGTTGGAAGTTATTTATATATATTCAACCAGAATATTACACTAACAGTGCACATTTAGCTGCATACAGGTGACAAATCACAAAAATAGAAAAAATTTTTCTATTAGTATTTTAATTAATATTTTAACATATTACATATTTTTAATATTAAGAAAAATAATGTCATTTTTTAAAAAGAATAATCAGAAGAACACTAAGGTTTATGGTCAAAACTGCTAAATTTAGCCAAATTACAATAGATAGATAGCTTGGCATCAGACTGAAGGGCATCTCTAGGGTAAATGTATTCCTACAGGTACATTCAGCAAACATACACATATAAAATAAAATTAAAGAACTTTATTACTCAGATCTAAAAGATTAAAAATACCTACAGGCTTTAATAAAAAAATTACCTAGGTACAGTGATCCTAAAGTTCAATCATCAGCTAAACAGCTTATTTCTGTAACAGATTAATAAAATGCACATAATCATAACTAAATCTGAGGTCAAATTCAATCCCCTAAGTACACTAAAAAAAAATAAGACTAATTTGAACCCAATGGCTAAACTGATCCACTCACAAAATCTCCAGTTTGATTCTCCAGCAAATTACAACGACCCACTAAGAACCAGTGTGCTTCTCCAAGCAGCCTAAAGGGGCTGGAAATGCTGCCACCGTCTTCCTGAATGCAACTTTTTAAAAAAAAAAAAGATGGCTTTGGGCAGGAATTAAACAGACATAAAGCCTTCAAACTTCCTAATGAATCAAGATGACACTAATGGGTTCTAGTCCAGTAACAGTGGGGGTAACTGGAGGATACACTAGAGTGTTACACATCTCCTGTATATCAGGCCAAGCCAGAAGGAAACACTGGGGGAAAAAACAAACCATAACCAATCCCGTGGTGCACTGGTTTTGTATGTTCACTATGTATCTTCATTGCCACTGTTGACATCACCTTCTTAATTTCTATCTGGACAAATTAAATATCCATTATGCTCAGAGTTCAATTTGTATGTATTTGGGGGACACGAAGTCTGAACTATTTTCCTATCCTTAGTGAAATGCAAAGCAGAAGCATAAGGTGTAAAAGCTTACAGCCATATGTATTGTTGATAACACCATACTGAGTTATCCCAGATACGTATATAAAAAAAAATCTGAGATACCACATCCTATTTATCCACTGTGAAGCAGAATAAATACCAGTCTTAAAAAGAAGAATCACTGGAGTCTAAATAAACCCTTAAGCTCAATCATCTAAAAAGAGGATTTTCAAGACTAAAAAAATAACCTTCAACAAGCATTGACAAAGATGAAGAACAGGCACCAAGAGAAACATGAATGTGTTCCACAGAGTTTGCTGAGCTGTCATTCCAAGCAAAAACTCTCAGTTCTCTTCTACAGTTGAGTCTTTGTTGCACAACAGAAATAAAAATAGGTTCAGTGCTATTACATTTCAGGGTTCTCAAGGAAGTTTATTATTTCTACTAAATAATAATTTCTTCCCCTAAGTAACATTCTCCTCTAAGAATATATTTAGCAACCCGTATTGGACATTGAATATTTCCTCGCTATGAAGGAAAGACAAACGTGCTTTCTGCAAGGCAGTCTCTCGCAAGGCTCAGTGCCTGCCCCTCGCACCGCGCAGGTGCTCCCGGAGCGCACCTGAGCCGAGCGCGGCCCGGCGCCAGCGCCGTTCAAGCGCCAGGACGCTGTTTATGAAACAGAGCACCTTGCATCAGCCGGGGAGGCAGCGGCAGATGATGACAGAGAAGGAAGTTGGCAAAGGCCGGCGCGCAGGGCCGGGGCGGCACGGCGGTGCCCGGCGCCCCCCGAGCGGCGCGGCCGCCCCGCGCGGCCCCGCTCAGCGCTGCCCGCACCGCAGCGGCCGCCCCGGCCCCGGCCCCGGCTCCCCGGGCTCTGCCCCGCCGCGGGCGGCCCCTCCCCGCCGCAGCCGCCGCGCCCCCCGGAGCTCCCCGCGGCCGGGCCGGGGCAGGGCGGCCGCCCCCGCGGGCCGGTCCCGCCGCCTACCTGAGCGCGGCCCTTGCGGGGCCCGGCACGGACGAGGGGCCGCGGCCGCAGCCGCCGGTGACGCCGTCACAAACAACCCGGCCCGCCCGGGCCGGCGCCTGCGCGCGGGGCGGCGCCCGCAGCGCCCCGGCGAGCGTCGTCCGCGCCCCGCCGCGGCCCGGCCCGGCCGCCGCAGCGCCCGGAGCGGCCCGGGCACCGCCATGGCAACGCCGCGCCGCCCGGCCCGGCCCTTTGTGCCCGGCCGAGGGGCCCGGAGAGCGCTGTGCCGCGGGAACCACGGCAGAGCCGGGCTCAGGGACAGCCGCTCTGAGCAGACGCGCTCTGTGACATGCCAGTAACGCTTGTACCAGGGGAAAGGATAAACAGCACCCTCGGCCCCCAAAAAAAACAACCAAACGAACAAAAAGCCCCACCATAGAACACCCCAGAACATGCCACAACACCCCCCCCCCAAAGAAAAAACAAACAAAAAACCAAAAAAACAAAGGTGCTGTATATGGACAACTAATGTTTGATTCTTCTAGCCTCAGGTGGAACAACTCTGATGAGATAAGGCAGCTCTTAACTCCCACCCACGTTCCTAGACCACATCTCATCAACTGGCAAAATCCCAGAGGTTTAGACCCTAACAGTCTCTGATACTGGAACAAAAAATAAATGGGAGATTGACAACAGGTCTCACTAGTAAAGATATCTTCCTCTAGTTTCATCTAAGACAGCAACTTAAGTGTCGGTTTCATGTCTTACATGACTGAGAAACTAGGAAAAAAATTTTCACTGGACCTCTGAAGAGCAGCAGGTTGTAACTGGCTGGCTCAGCTGCACTAAGGGAGGTACCTTACTCAGAGAAGTTTTACAGCAGGCTCATCAGTACAGCACCAGAGCACTTTCCTTAAACAGACCAAAAAGTATTTGTCATGTGATAACTCAATCCTACAGGGGAAAAAAATAAAAATAAATGCATATGAATACAAGTGATATACAATACAAATCTTGAGCAATATTTGCTGTGACCCCAGTCAACAAATAATAAATGCTTTGCCTTGTTAGCTGAAGGGCTAAGATGATCTTTCTCCCATTGCGAGTGTCTCTCCTCCTTAGCCCTCACTTCCCCTCAGTAATTTTAAAGAGAAATATCTTTAAGTATAGCATTACAGTCAACTGAGGCACTCAAACTGCTGCACTGCCTCCTTCCAGCTGTTATAAAAAAAGTGTTTTCAGCCCCTTCCAGTGCAATGCAGCCGTTTTCTGTAGGAAAGCAGGGCTAGCAGCTTTCCTATCAGACATTTCTGACTCACCTCAGCACTCCTCTCAAGGCTCTAAGCAAAACATCTGGAAACAATGCCTGCCACCTTCTCCCTGATACAACACTATAAAATTTGCACACAATAATATGTATCTGCATGATACTTTATTATAAAGAAAGAAATTAGTCATAAATGGTATTCAGGAAAGAGACTGATGCAGTAAATTCAGAAATCTGCTAAAACTGCTACCGGAAGAAGTGTAGTTGAAATGGTCCCATTTTGGAAAGAACACATAAAAAAAGGAACCACTTCATGTCCGGGATTTCAGATTGTCAGAGTAATACAGAATGCTAACAAAAAACCAAAAATACAACAACTTTGTATCAAATTTATATAAAATATATCTAATCAGGTTTATAATACTATACTTTCCAGTAATATATCCAATTTTTTACCAATTTTGTAAGTGTTCCAAGTGAAGCAGAAAATCGTCAAGATAACACACACTGAAGAGAAATAGGATTCCTTCTGATGTCCTCAAAGGCTTCAAAATTTTTTATGCTTTTTTTAATTAAGAACTTTGCATTGTTCCTTGAATTAGATGTCGAATCTTCTCAGCGTCTTTTTCTAAAATTTTATTTCCGGGATCAATCTTGAGAGCTGCTTCATAATCCTGAAGGCCTAATATAGACACATTAATAAGAATATCAATCAATTATGCAAGAGTATCCTCTTTAGCAACTAACTGGAAATAAACACTCCCCAGTCATATGCATAAAGTATTCATCTTGAGGCTTGTCCTTAAGTAAGATGGCATCAGAATGGTATTAGTTTAGCTTCCACTAGTAAATAAACTTATATTTTGTCTATCTTATTTTACAAAACATTTTAGTGGAAACATTCTACCACAAATATTTTCAGGTTTTGAAACATGAAAATAGAGCCTCTTCATTCATGTACATATACACCTATATATGTGTGTGTGCATGAAGTGACTGTTCTAAAGTCTTCTGCAGAAGAGAGGAAATGATCCTGCGTGAAAACATGAACAGAAAAGACATGAACTGTGAAAACCAGAGCTTGTGGGGAAAAAAAAAAAAAATCATGAGTATGGGAAGTAAAATCTTGCCTACATTAGTCTTTTTTATAAGGCTTCAAAGTACAAATGAAGCTGTAAGGGAATAACCAAGTGATGCCTGTAGGAAAAGGTAAACAATGGCCAAAGCTTCATATAACACTGACATTTTGAATATTCTTCAGTTTCTATTACCAGCTTTCACTTGTAAATTTGCTTTACAAAACTAATCTGATACTCTTGAGGAACTGAATAGGGACACTATAAATTCAGTTATTTTCACACAAATCACATGTACTTGATGAATCATTTTACTCATTAATATGGGTTTCCTACCTCATTTTACAAAGATGTTACTGAGCACTTCACAAGTATTTTAGAAATATTTCAGGTTATTTTAATATCTTCAATGGAAAAACTCCTAAAATTAGGAATGCAATCCTTTTTCTCAAACTTGTAAAGATTTTTCAAGTATTCAGCAAATTAAAAAAAAATAAAGAATGTGGTATAAAGGTTCATAAAAAATAAACATAGATTATACAGACCTCCTTCAAAATCACTTCTGAGAACATAAAGGTGTGAGCAGCCTCACTAAGCTAAACAGAATTACTTGCATGTCACTATAAATACCTGTGCATGTTTTCATAAAACCAAGGCCTCACCTTCAGTGTATAATTCCAGCTGACAAAATGCTGTTCCACGTCTGACGTGGGCTTTCACTCGAGCATTCTCATTATCAGGAACAGGTGGTGTCAACAGTTCCAGTGCCTTTACAAATGAGAACACCCAAAGTATTTATAAGTAAATTTTCCATAATTTGGGGCTTTTTTAAATTTATGAACACTTCTTTCACCTAATTACTATTATTATGCAGTCACATAATAACTATTTGAACAAATAGAAAATAGCTATTCAAATTTAACTATAAATGACTTGTGACTCTGGTCATTAAGATTTGTAGTTTGCCAATTACAGTTACACTGCCATGGCTAAAAACTGACAAATACCATGTTAAATGTTTATTGAGGTCAAATAATGTGTTCTGTTTTCATGTATCATATGATCTCTCATGCTATCAAAACGAAAAAGGTAGCACTAAAAAAGCACATGTGTTTTAGTAGCAGTTAGTAGGAAAAAACAAGACCAAAAACCCCCAAGTTTCAAGACTCAAGTACTTATTAGTTCAAAAAATAATAAGGATTGGAAAACTTTTCCCACATTATTCAGGTGCCATTTGAGATCATTCTTCTTGTTGCACGAATAACACTGCTAAAATACGAGGACAATACAGCCCTTCTTTAAAAATGTTTGGTTTGTTGGAAGTTCTTTAAGGTATCCTGCTTATCACCACAACTTTTTTTCCTTCCAACCGAATGGAGCACACCACAACATAACAGAAAATGTATGAGTATACTTTGGTTTTGTTTTTCTCTGCTCCAAGTTGTGAGATTTTTCAAGTGTACACATTGCTACAATATTTTTGTCTGTAAAGAAACCTACTGGCCAGTATATGGCCATCTGTCACAAATGTGTGGAAGTCTGGTTTAGGTTTATTTTATTGCTGCTTTGTTTTAAATTTCTGAAAGTTCATTAATCACTATCAAATTTTAATATTTTACCATGGTTTCATTATATCAATTTTGAATTTTAAAACTTTGAATTGCACTACTATGTATTTACAGATCTGCTTAAAACAGAACCATAACAGTAACAAATCACATTAATGCCAAAGATGACAGCCTGGGCTCCTGAGTTTTTATACCTTGGAGGAATCTTCGATAGCTTTGTGCAAATTTCTCAGTTTGAGGTGGCAAGCAGCACGGTTCAGGTACAGCACGGGAAGTTTATTGTTCAGCCGCACTGCAAGGTTATAGGCATTCACAGCCCCAAGGTAGTCTCCCATTGCAAACATTTTGCTGAGTATTAAAAAAGTGAAACATGCACTTTAAAGAAGGCTATAAATACAAAATAACCACTTACTTATTGTTAACTCATTTTCAAAAATTTGAGGTTTTAGCATCTTTTCCTTTAAAAGGTTCCTTTATAGCCTTTTCTGAGAACAGCACAGCTGAAGCTCAGTGCACCTTGCTGCTGACAATACAGTTTAGAGATACACAACAAGAATAGCCACTGCTTACAAGCAATGAAAGATTGTCAGAGTGGACATATTTATGTAGACACATAAATATTTATGTAGACACAGGCTAATTTTGAAAGTTTTGTATATCTGATTATGATTGCCAAATAAAAGGTTTCTGTATAACACAACTATATAAATAAGCCAATTTTCGTATAAAGTCCCTAAAGTTTATTTTATACAGATATCTAATGTCTCACTAAAAAAGTACAAATGAAATGAAATCCACTTAGGTATTATAGTGCACTGCCTCAACTTTCTTCAAAGAAGAATATACATAATGTGTTTACAACTATTTTGTTCACCATGAACTTCAACCATTGCATCTCATGATTTATCACATTCTAACCCCATAAGCTGTCAATAAAATCTCCAGTACGACCACCATGACTACTCTAGACATTCACCAACTCTGTCTATAATAAACAGAATATACCAAAACTGAACAGTAGACAAACACCATAAAACTAATTCATTTTTAATACATCTTCAAGTGGAATGTAACTTACTTTCCTTTGTCCTTTAACCAATCTGGATTCTTCTCCTCTTCTTTTAAATCTTCCAGCTCAGATAAATCAGAATTTATTATTCTTCGAGCTTCTGCTTGTTTGTGTAGCCACTGTAAATACAAAATGTGCTAGTATTATTTCTGAAGTAAAAATTCACATCCAAAAAAGGATTTTATTTTTGTTTCTTCACTCATACTTATCAAAAGAATTCCATTGATCACATATTTCAGACACAGGAAAATATTTGATAGTGTCCAATATGAAAAACTTCCAAGTTTCCCCAAAAATTTTATTACCATGAGAAGGCAGGTTACCACATCTCTAATACATTTTTGTTTACTTGTCTGTTTTGATCTTTCAAAATTACTTTGTGTTCATTGAATCAAGCTCAAAAGAACTGTGAGCTTCTTTTAAGACAGAACTGAAAGAATCTTAAATATAAGAGTTAGGACACTTCAAATTTTGTACTTCAAGGAATTAAATTAATACTGCTGCCATTTCTCCCCATGCCAAAAAAGGGACATACTATTTATTAACCTGCACAACCACACGGAGAAAAGACATTTTATATAAAATTGTTTCTTTATATCTTAATTTAAATAATACTGCCTTCCTTGGAAGATAAGGATATTGCACAGGTAACATTCCTTGGCACAGACACTATTTTTATATTGACTGAATACACAATAATTAATTCCCCACCTTACCTCCTCCTCTTCTGCAACACGAGATTCTCGCAGAGCTGTGGGAAAAACTCGTGGTGTAAAGTTGACTTTAATTGTAGCAGGAGCTCGGGGAGCTGGTAACTGTTCTTCCTTTAACTTCTGTGAAAATATACTACAGGAGCCATGACCTATGAAAAGAGTTAGAGCGCTGGAAATCAAAAATGAAGCAAGAGATTTTTCTGGTTTTCTACCGAAGTCCAAACTACACCTGACTCAGAAATGCAGCACATTAGAATTAAACCTCTAGTTGCTTGAGAAAAGTTTAGGCTTGTTCTTCTGAAGGGAAGGTTCAGACAACTTTTCTTCCTAATGTAGCAAGTAAATAAATGGAATTATACAGCATCTGTCACAAATTAACTTAAGCTCCTCTTACACCTCTTTGTTATTTGTATGATGCTGCGACAGGGCAACAATAAGAGCTAAAACTAACATATCAAATCACACAAACAGACAATTAAATGTCTTCTGCTGGTTTAGTTCCTTGAACTGCCTCTCCATGGAGCCAAGACACAGGACAGAGAGCACAAAAGGAGATTGAATACTTCTATGAAATCCAGCAGCTAGGTAACTTTGGGTACCAGAAACCCCACCCCCAGGAAGTCTGCACTACAGTGCCAGAAAGGCTTTCTGATTTACTTTCCTAAAGCTTAGAACAAAACCCACCCTTGTATTTCCAAATACTTCAATAAGAGCTAAGAACTCATGTGCTTTAGCTCAATAAATTGCCTGAAATAACAATTTTAAAATAGCTACGAGCTCAAAGAACTGGTGGAGACAAAGATAAGTAATGAATTAGAAACATATGGGAATAAAGCTATACCCACACTTAAAAGAATTACAAAGTACAGTTCAATTATACAACCTCTTGTGGATTTGAGTCTTGTCTTAGAACTTCCTTCATTAGGAATCCGAGTTTTGTTCATTTTTTCATTTTTTCTTTCTTTTAATGGCTCTATTTCTTGATGTAATTCCTCCTTCTTTTGTATGCTCTTGTATTTATCACCATCTTTTTCTTGGTTTTTCCATAACTCCAACTCTTTAGCAACTTTCTGACGCTCCTTTTCTTTTAGAGCTTCAATTCTTTGTCTTTCTGCTTCCTCTAGCTATTAAAAAAAACCAAAAAAAACAACAACAAAAAAAAACACCAAAAAAACAAAACCCTATGAGATACATAACATCTGATAATACTGACTTGACTAAGTTACAGTTACCACTATTTTCCCAGTTCCATATCCCAAGTATAATGTAACCAATAATGCAATAATGTGACCATACAAGCAGAGTTAACTAAGATGCTTAAAAATGACTGTGAGAGTAAAGATTTCTGAATAGCTTTTAGAGGTCTCATCTTCAAACTATTTCACTAACAACCTTAAGGTGCAATTCAGAAATATTCAGAAATAAGTTTTACTTTTAAACAGTGAAAATCCTAGCACTGTTCCAATGTAGATCTCTGGAGAATACAGAAATGTAAAATATATGTGATGATCTGAATACACTGTGTCTTATTTCTCCTCTTCTCTTTGAGATTGTTACATATTAGAAGAGGTACAACATTGCAACAACTTTCTTAGTTGTTGCAACTAAGAAAGTCACTAACTGTGGTTCTTTTTGGTCCATATTGCATATGCAATCTTAAAATTTCATTGCATACTCCAAAAGAAAAAAAAAATCCTTTGAAGACAAGTGAAGGGACCAGACTTCTTATATACATTAAAATTTTAAGAACTTATCTTAAAATATACATAAAAAGCAGAATAATAATGACACAAACACAAAAAAGACAAAAAGAAAGCAAGTCTGATATAAAATACAATAAAGAATAAGTTAGAATTTTTAAAACCTGTATTTTTTCACAGTGCTAAAGAGGACTAAATATATGGAAAGGCCACAAAAGGCTACAATTTTGTAACATGACTGTACTCTCCTTTGAACAAACAAAAATCTGAGCTTGTCACCAAAAACTTTCATTAGTATTACACACAGATAATGGCAACTTGTAAGCACTTTGTCAGTAAAATTTTCATGTTTGATAATAAATAGGTTTTAAGTGCAAAGAAATAACAAGGTTCACCACTACTATAAAAAAAAAAATCTGAACTTTTTGTATTTTTCAATGTACATTTACCAAAGCATCTGCCAGATGAGTTGGTAGCTGTTTACATGTACATCTTGCAGAGCTCCTTCTAAACCTACCTTCATTGTGGCCTCCAAAGCATATTTTTTGTGTTTCTGTTTTGTAATTTTTTTTGCTTCCGTCTCCTCTTTTGCCTTTTCTTGGGCTTTTAGAACAGCATTCTCTCTCAGATACTGTAGTTTCTCCTTGTCAGCTTAAAAAAATAAACTATCTTAGTCACTTAGGCTTGGTGTTCTATTGGTACATAACATGTTAATGAAAACATGATTTCTTTTGCTACTTTGGCAAAATACAACATGATTACAATTTGACAAACCAGTGTCTACCAAGCCTACCTCTAAAAGAGAAACATTAAGATTTGCTTAAACACAAAATGTACATTCTGCAGGAAGCATTGTATTATTTCACACACGTTAGAACTAGTAGATATTCTTCATTCTCACATACTTTCTATTTTTAATAATGAACAAGGTTGAACTGAGCAGATATCTCAGCTCAGTTATAACCAGAAGTTTCACAGTATGGTTTCCTTACACGCAATCTACTTTTCAGAGTAGAAAACTTACCATTGGCTAGAGTTAGGGAATCCCACAAGGCTGGTTCTTTTTTATACAAAGTGAAGAAAATGTTTCCATTTCCAATCTTTGCTGTGCTGTTTGTGTCATCAATAGGAGCATACAAAACGGCTTCAAATAAAAAGGGAGGGATGCTTACCTACAAAAGTATAATTTGCACTAATATTAACTATTTTAAATTAACTCTCATGTATTCAAAGCAGAGCACAAGCATACAGTAAACCTCAAAAAACAACACTACTGACAGAACTAATTTGCTTTGTATCCACTGTAGTGGTTTGTAGAAGCCCAGCGAAGGTGCTTCCTTCCCGTTAAGGTTGGGTCATCACAAGGTTATATATTTCATGAATGAGATTGAAAAAGCCAGTTCTTCAGCACTGCAACAGAAGCCATAGATTTCAAATTTAGGATTATTCACAGTACAAGCAAATGTATAAATTCAGTCCATTTATGAGAGTAAAGGCGGCTGGCACCTGTTGAGCGGCCAAGAGCATTAATTGGGAATGAGCAGTGGTAAAGCCATTATCTGCCGCAGGCCGGGCGTTTAGCAGCCTGCAGCACACAGAGGGAAATTCTAAAAGATAGAGGGCTGTGAACTTGAAGAGTTGCCATGGTGCAGGCGCGCGTGCCTCTGAGCGGGACTACGGAGGCAGGAGGCCCGTGAGGCGAGCGGCTCCCACCTTCAGGTACTGCTCGCTGCAGAAGATGTTGGCGGGGGTGGCCCGGGCGCCGCGCAAGGGCAGCGAGAGGTACACGGCGGTGGGGCTCTGGCGCCAGCTGTGCTCCCGCAGCCACACCGGCATCGCCGCTCCCGGTGCTCCCGGCCCCGCCCGGCCCCGCTCCGCTCCCGGCCCGGCCCCGCTCCCGGCCCCGCTCCCCGCCCGGCCCCGCGGTGCACGCCGGGAGCTGTAGTCCCCAGGGGCTGAGGGCCGCGGCCACGGCCCTGGCTGCCAGCCCGCAGCTCCGCAGGGCAGGAAGGAACGCAGCTCGTGGCATCCACGTACATTTCTAGAAAGAGACAAACTCATGATAGCGTAGAATTTATGACAAAAACTCTCAGACGTTAGTTTTTAGCAAAAAAAAAAAAAAAAAAAAAAAAAAAAAAAAAAAATCTGGTCCAGCCTCCCTGTTCAAGTAGGGCCATCCTGTGCACATAGCACAGCATTGTGTCCGGATAGTTCTGGAGTATCTCCAGTGAGGAAGATTCCACAGCCTCCCTGCGCAGCCTGTACCCACAGAGAAGTTTTTCCTCAGCTAAGGCAGAACTTCCAGAGCATCAGTTTCTGCCTATTGCCTCTTGTTCTATTGCTCAGAAGCACAAAGAGCCTGGCTCCATCCTCCAGCACCTCCCTTCAGACATTTACACACATCGCTGAGGTCCCCTCCCAGCCACTTCTCCTTGAGGGTAAACAAGGCCAGCTCCCTCAGCCTGTCCTTGTGAGGGATTCTGCAGACCCTCGAATGAACTCGGTAGGTCTGCGCTGGACCTGCTCCAGGATCTCCATGTCCCAGTACTGAGGACAGTGCTCCATGTGTGCCTCACCATGGCTCAGCAGAGGGCAGGATCGCCTCCTTCACCTACTCTGGCAATGCTGGCACTGAAACTTCCACACGGCCCCTGAAAATAACTGGGTCATACAGGCAGCCCCACGCTATTGCTGAGCAATATTGTCTGCTGCACTGTCTCTGCCAAAAACTCAGGAGGTAATTTGCACATTACCACTCAAACAAACTGTAACACTGTATCTGCCAAAACAAAGTCTAGTATATTGAAAGCAACTGCTTCTGGAGAATATGGCCTGAAAGATGAGACAAACACAGGTATGTTTAAGATCCTCAAAAGTATACAATTACCTAGAACCAATAGGAAAAATCCAGAAACAAAAAGTCTAGTTTTTCTTCTTTCTTGTAAAATGAGACCAAGAATAATGGAGTTTAATGGCTCACATTAACTAGTATTTCTAATGTGTACGACTGAAGATTTAATTTTTATGTTAAGATTTAATTTTTATGTTCTATTACATGTAATACACAGCAATATTCAAACAGTGAAGGTTACTTTTAAGCACTGTTTATATATAAAAGTAGGTATTGCAGAGATTTATTACTTTTTAGAGCAAGAAATCCATTACAACTCATATGATTTCTGGCTTATTCTCCACCCTCGCTCACCCACATCAATATCATCTGTAAGAATTCTTGCATAGACTGGAATCCAAGAATTGAATTAAATTCCTCTTTCCAAGAACATTCAAAGTACATAGCAGCAGCAGCTAGAATGATAATAAGGTAGTAACTCAAAATCTCCTACCACTCCAGCTGTAGTCATCCAGAAAGTCAGAGGTTTTGAGTGCAGGTCTTCTGTCTTGGTCACCCAGGTGTCATTTTTGGTTTAATCACAGAGCATATACTGAAATTAAGCAGCTTATTATTTATTCCTGCTAGAAGAACTATATTATGCATACATGCTTTACAAGACACAGTAATGGTTACCAGTATCCAGTGTTCTCAAATTACACAAAAGAGCTCTAATACATCAACCAAAATGTCTATTTACTTAAAACCTAGATTTGCAATGCACAGCTTGTAGGAGATACAGTAAATATCACTAACATGTTTTCATGTCAAAGTAGTAGATTTAGCTGCTAAAGGACACAAAAGGGATTCAGCAAGGTCTTGGATCAGCCTTAAAGGTTTTGAATTGTTGTGTACATGCAGAACCACCACCTCTGTCCCACCCACTCCACAGCCTTACCTGGACAAGCTGCTGTGCTCTCACTTGAAAAATAAACAGGAGACACCCATGCAGCATGGTTCTTCTGCTGGCACTAACTTTATCAGTCATAAAGTCTGCAGTGGAAAGTTTGCAGTGAAAGAAGATAAATTTTTCCATTGAAAATCTGATTCCTAAATTCCCATCTCCTGTGCTATGAAGGATGCAGATTTATGTTCCAAACATGTTTGCATGTTCCAGATAAACCTTAACAACATTATTAATATTCTGCACCTTCCAGCTCCCTATACATACATATATCTATTCTGGGGTTATTTCACTTCTAATGGCTTCAGAAGTTTTAATATATGGATACTTTTAGATGCTTTACATTTTCTTACCTTTAATTACTAACCTTTTTTTCTCACATCCTTTCTAAATTCTCTCTCATTTCTCTCATCCCTCCATATTTTTAACAAAAAGCAGAAACATTTTATGAGACTCTGTTTATTCCAACAAACTGTTTTGCATATGTAGCTTGGGACCTGTGATCAGTTACTTGTAAAAAAGATTGGTAAAGCAGTGATTTGGTATGTTCTAGTTCTGGCATTTTAACAAACAGGAAGAACTTAGTAATAATTTTATAAACTGGAATAAATAATTCTTTGTATAATCACTTTCCAAGTGCAGAAAGTTATTAAAAAAATCTATTTGAACAAATGGTGCTTGAGCATCCCTTCCCCTCCTGTGAAGAAAGAAATGGGGCTGAAGACACAAGATCTTTTCCCATCTGCCTTGAAGTCACTGCAGATGAACACCTTTACAGAACAGTGGAGCTCTCCAAGAGAGGCAGGAGCTGCATTTTCTGATCCATATGACCTCATGCTGCTTCTTGCAGGACTACACCTAATCCAAATGTGTTATCACAGGCAGAATATGAGAAGCATCCATCTAGGCATTATATCATCTTCAGAAAGTCCACAGGCAACTTCCCCACAAAAATTATCTTTATTTTAAAAGAAATTGAAACTAGACAACAGAAAGCAACAAAGTTACATACAGTGCTGGACAAAGCCTACCATATACATTTTCCAAGAACACTTGAATCAGATTCTGATATATGTTCTTCTAGAAGGTAAAAATATCACATCCTAATTAACAAAAAAAAATTAAATGTCGACAATCTTAATCAGCTTATATTTTGCATTGTTTGGATGGCAGTAGATTGGTAACATGCCTTTTTCTACTCACTTTTAACTCTAAAAGGAGAAGGTGAACAAAAAATTCCAAGTCAGAAGGCCCTAAAGACCATAGTGCCTGCTCTAAAGGCCACACACAAAAGCTTGGAGGAAAGACCAAGTTTTGAATAAAAATCTCTAACAACTTTGTATTATTTCACATTTCAGAAAAAAAAACTATCAAGAAAGAAAAACAAAAAAAAATATATATTAAGAGCTTGCCCTCCCTAAGTTATAAGGAAGCTCAGATTTAGACCATTCTGTAGAGGAAAACATGAGTGTCTAGGAACAGACAACTCTCATAACTCCAATCCCAAAATGTCCCCAATACAGCAATTCCTGAAATACAGTGCACAAATCTCCAAGGAAAAAGGTGGGCTTAGGTCAAAAAATTATTTTGAGAGAGTTTCTTTGAACATGAAAAGGAAAATTATGTATGGTATGCAGAAATAGTTATTCCCTGTGGTGCTGGGATAAGCCATTTCTAAACCAGGAGACAAAGGGTGACACTGAAAACTTCAGGCTAGAGGCAACACCTCTGAGAGCCTGAACACCACTCAGAACTCATTACCACAGAACTGATGACACACAGCACTAGGCCACTAAAGGAACCTTTCTCTTCTTCTATATAAAGCAGATGTTATCACTTCCACATAAAGAAGTGAATGTGCATAACTCAAGATGTAGTGTAGGATAGTTATATTGCCTTAAAGAGTTCTGCTAAGTACACTTAATTTCCAATTTTAGGGAAGAGTCTATTCCAATATAGAAAGCTTCAGCCAAAACTTATTATTGAAGTTATTCTGCAACTGCAGAATAACTTCAAAATACGTCCAGTTCTACATCTTCCTGCATATTATCTAATCACATCCAATAGACAAAAAAATGATATGCCTCCTAAGCAAACAAAAAAAATTATATGTTTTGTAAAACAAGTAAAGAGTCTTAGAATAGAATTTTCACACACAAGAGCTGATTACCAAATATCCACCCATTTATCAGTGGATAATATTAAGAAATTCATATTAAGTAATGGCAACAAGAAGATAATGCATATCAGTGCTGTGGGTTCTGAAAGGTATTCAGTTTTAATTATTAATTGCTACCATCTATCATAGCTCATTCTATGCAAGATACCTCACCAGCTACCAATCCATAAACAATAATGTTTCACATACTTCATAGAGTAGCTTAAAACACATCATGGTATGAAATAATTTGTATTACATAGTAATTTAATCCCTGGCCACAGGGTTAATGTTGGACAAAGTCTGGAAACTTTTCCAATTTGAATTACATACATTAACTTTGTCACACACCACAGCACTAATGCGTGTATTACATCAGACATGCTCTAATTTAAAATCAAAACAAAAAAGTTGTTGCAAAAATACATGTCACCAATGTGGAACACATTCAAGATTGTATAAAAAGTACTGAACTGATATCCCAAAACAGGCATATTTAAGCAGTACATAAGGAAAGATTAGTTTTAATATGAAACAGTCGTTTAAGTCACATACAACATGATAAGAAGCATGACTTCCTTTTTTTAAAAATGTTACACAAATACTTTTACTGACAGGCAATGTTTATTTATAAAATGAGAGGGATATACTTAATGAAGATGTGTAACTGTATTAAGTTGGAATAAAGACAAATGTTAAAAAGATGCTACATTTTAACACCACTGATTTTGTAAAAATCTCAAACCATATAAGCATTTCACTTGCAAATATCACAGGCCCCAAACTGCAAACACTTTAAAACATTCTTGACCGTGTGCATGCAGTTTCACTGACTTCATTAATTGTCACATGCTTGAAATTAAGCCTGAAAAATGTGATTACAAAACTGGTTCTTAGATTAAAAACTTCAGAGGTCACAAAGTATAATCTTCTTTGAGCAGCCCCCAAAATTATATTTTTCTTTTAAGCAGAGCAAACTTCATTACTTCTCTCTAGCTTCTTTCATATGAGGATCTCAAATAATAACTAGGCCTCTAAAGAACCTTTGGAAGCAAGCACCAGTCCCATCTTCTTTCAGAAGAGACAAGCACAAACCTGCTAGTTTCAAGTTGTAGAAGGAATGAGTAAAACAGGAAGAAACAGGATTTTTGCTACCTGCTCT